CGAAACTGCGCTGCAGCAGCAGTCTCAGCCACTGCGGCAGAGCCGTCGGAGAAGGTACACTGGGCGGGGGCACAACCCTTAAAGATAGGGACCGGCACGACACCGCTCGCCTGGGCGATGGAGCGGTGACGGGTCTCTATCACAGTCAGGGTGTCTACAAAGTCAGTGAGGGTGAGGTCTGCGGGGTGAATGCTAAGGAAGCGGTCGCGGGCGACAGCAAGGCGGTCAGGGAGGCGGGTGGCAAGCAGGTAGAGGGTAGAGGTAATGGGCGGCTGGTGGGCTCTAAGCTGTGCATCAGTGCAGGCTGCACGCCAGGTCTCATCTATCGAGCGCAGGTGGGCAGCGAGGTCAGAGACAGTGGGGAAAGATGCAAGGTCAGGAAAGAGCATCGGGAGGATTAGGCGACCCACCGAGGCAGCCGGAGGGGGAGAATAGCGCTGGAGGACAGCATCTAAGTATGCCTGAGCAGTGGTGAGAGACCTAAAGCGAGGGCGCTCAGACGGGGGAAGGGCGTTGCTAATGGCAAGCTGGGCGACAGCATCGCGAGAAAGCCAGACAGAGCGCGCACGGGCAGTGGCAGCAGTGGACTCGCACTCAGTGGGTGTGCAGTCAGCGGGCAGAATAGCAGGGGGGTCTGGGCAGGGGAGCGTACCGTCAAGGTGTGCGGAGAGCGGTTCACCATCCTGCCGCTGGCCAGTGAGTTGGCGGCGGACGTCGGCAAGCCACGCCTCGAACTCCAGAGGCTGGCCTTCAGCGTCGAAGCGAAGCTCCGCCGCCATCAGGAACAGTGCAGTGCGGTGCAGGGCAGTGCAGCAAGGTGGAGTGCGGTGCCGTGCGGTACAGTGCGATGCAGTGCGGTGCAGTGCGGTGTAGGGTGGTGAGGGGCGGTGCAGTGCGGGGCAGTACGGTGCAGGGCAGTGCAGGGCGGGGGGGGGGGGGGGGGTGGAAACCGTACCAGTGAGGAGGACCGGGGCCGGGGCAGGGACGAGCGCAGGGGCCGGGCCGGTGCAACGGGGCCGGGCGGGCGCGACGGGGCCGGGCGGGAGCGACGGGGCCGGGCTGGTGCGACGGGGCCGGGCGGGTGCGTCGAGGCCGGGCTGGTGCGACGGTGCCGGGCCGGTGCGACGGGGCCGGGCGAGCAGGACGGTGGCCCAGGAGGGGCGCCCCGGGGCTGGGCGGGCGCGACGGGGCCGGGCGGCTGCGACGGGGCCGGGCAGGGGGCGACGGGGCCGGGCTGGTGCGACGGGGCCGGGCTGGGGCGACGGGGCCGGGCGAGCGCGACGGGGCCTGAAGGCGTGACGGGGCCCAGGAGGGGGGGGGCTCGACGCGGCCCAGGAGGGGTGCTGCGGGGCCCAGGAGGGGCACGACGGGGGCCCAGGAGGGGCGCTACAGGGGCCCAGGAGGGGCGCGACGGGGCCCAGGAGGGGCGCTACGAAGCCTAGGAGGGGCGCGACGAGGCCCAGGAGGGGTGCTACGGGGCCTAGGAGGGGCGCGACGGGGCCTGGGAGGGGCGCGACGGGGCCCAGGAGGGGCGCTACAGGGCCCAGGGAGGGCGCGACGGGGCCCAGGAGGGGCGCTACGGGGCCCAGGAGGGGCGCGACGGGGCCCAGGAGGGGCACTACGGAGCCCAGGAGGGGCGCGACGGGGCCTGGGAGGGGCGCGACGGGGCCCAGGAGGGGCGCTACAGGGCCCAGGAAGGGCGCGACGGGGCCCAGGAAGGGCGCTACGGGGCCCAGGAGGGGCGCGACGGGGCCCAGGAGGGGCGCTACGGAGCCCAGGAGGGGTGCGACGGGGCCCAGGAGGGGCGCTACAGGGCCCAGGATGGGCCGCGACGGGGCTAGGGGGGTCGCGACGGGGCTAGGGGCTAGAGGGGTGAGCGGAAGCGGTAGGTGGGGGGGGGATCCTACCTACGCGTGATACCATATCAGAATTGAGAAGTGAATGATAGATAGAGTGAGAGTACACACAGATATACCTAAGTGTTGTACTCTCTAAGAGGCGACCCTATACAGTCTATACAAACATGACAAATACACATGTTTGACACTCTAGTCCCGGGTCTCCCAAGAAAATGCGTTCTGAATGGTTGCGGGCATATTCATGTGCAGTATAAGTGAACTGTGTGTTCGTGGTTTGTCGTTTCTAGCAGTTTCCGCAAACAACGCCATTTCACCGAGGGTTGCGAACTTGACAGTCCCCTAATTTATGTTACCTATTCTGCTCGAAAACAAGTTTAGGAATCCTGAAGTTGATAGCGTGCCATTCTAGACTCGGGCTTTACTGCTTCGACGTTCACGTTTTCCCTGGCAAGGTTCGCAGCAGTCGAAGTGGACTGTCCCTCAACTATCGAATCTACCGGGGCCATGGCGGTCAGGACGGGGCAGAAGCTAGCGCACACACCGTAGTTGCTAGAGTAGAAGTATTTATGACCCAAGGCAACTACTGTGCAACCGTGCTAATCCCCTTTGACTAGCCTTGACTAAGTAAACGGAAAACGGAAGGTTCCTGAAAAGTTTGGGCTCTAATATCAGCTGTTATGATAAGAGGAAGTGTCAATGGATAATAACGTGAGAATACAAGGTCGCTTTTGCAATGAATGCACGAGGTTATATAGGGTTGGCGTGCTAGGGCGATAACCTCGGAATGTGGGTAGGTTCGGTACTCTGGTGACAGTACTGGACGCGACTCGGGAAAGTGTCGGGCCGACAAATAAGGCCGAACGTGACGAGTCGAGGGATTCTGGTGTACGCGCTAGCGTACGACTCAGTAAGGAATTGAAATTCCTTACAGGCAGAATCGTGTTACCCGTAAAGGACGAATCGAAAGAAGCCGCATTGTAAGGAATTTCCATTCCTTTCTGAATCGTACGTTAGCGCGTACACCCGAATCCCTTGACTCGTCACGTTCGGCCTCATTTGTCGGCCCAACACTTTCCCGCATCGCGTCCGGCACTGTTGCCACATTGCCGAACTTACCCACGTTCCGAGGTTATCGCCCTAGCACGCCAACCTCTATATAACCTTGTGCCTTCATTTCAATCGCGGCCTTGTATTCATACGTTATATTTCATTGCGAAAGTCATGCTGACAATAGCACTCGCAGCTTCCACTGTTGGTCCACAAACGATACAGTGCTGTATGGGCCCCCTTGGGTTCAGCGGAGATCGAGGCCTCTCTAGGTGGCCCACCCCCAGGGTTTACGGTAGGCCCAAGGGAGTTTCGGAGGGTCCCGAGATGGGGTATAGAATTTTCCAGAATTTTCCGGATCCCAAGGAAATTCCACCCAGAATCCTTCCGAGTTCTCGACAAAAGCAACCAAGCCAAAGGTCGTGTAAGTCATCTCCCCTGATGTGTGCAGAGAACAGGGCTTGGCTGATTGGCGAAGTCCTGAAATCGTCCGAGTCCCTTTGGAATTGTGAGAATCACTGATTCGTGACATGAGAATCTTCGCCACCACGCAGTGGATTTGGAAGTTCTCCTCACAGAGCTCCATGCTACGAGACTAATTTGTCAGGATTCATGAAATTAGGACCCGGAATAAATCAGGATTTCAAAAGAGAATTCAGTCGGAAACATTAAGAGTTTCGGCAAATCCCAGCCTGTTAAAATCCGGGATAGGGGCTTGAACAACTCTTGAATCTCGACATTTAGGGTAGATACCTTTCTAGCGTCAGCCCTGCCCACCCCCCACCTCACTCCCACAACACCCCCTTCCATCATCACCCGCCCAGCCCTCTCAGGACCTCACCGCACCGCAGACAATTGAAACCACGCGCGTGCGTCAACAGTCTCTGCTACAAAAGATGCCCACCATTTTCTTGGGCAGATCGGTCAGCAGTGAGGAAAGTTTCGGCGGTGGGGCAGATACAGGGTACAGTGGACTTGCTTTCATCCCTCCATCCTCGCCCAGTGGGATGGGTCAACGCAAAAATTGCTTGGCCTCGCTGGACTGTGTGTACGTGTACAGTTCCCAGGTTGCATGGATCCACCGTTTTGCGGGTCGCCTATAAAAGCTATATGCCGAGGAATGCAATCTATAAAAGCTATTTCCTGGTCTTGCACAGCATTTAAGAAGGCTATTGAGGTTATCTCCCTAGTACATTTTCTCTCCATCGTTTATTCTCATCTGCCCTTTTATAAGCGTGGGATCTCAATCAACCAGCGAACTCAACGAAGATTATGTAGTTTCCCTCCTCGAGCTGGGATGGGTGGGGGGCAGGGGTTTCGTCCACACGGCAGATCTGGAAATCACGGGTGTACCTCAAAAGTCATTCGTCAGAAGCCGGGTAGGAACGAAAACAGCACGTCAATTCCGGGTGATTTTCGTGGCCTCAAAATGCTCGAGTTCAAATGCTCGGAGAGCGAAACACAAAGACTCCACTTATGTAAACTCCTTGCTTGGTCCTGAGTCATCTCGCTTGTATGAACCGCCATAGAATCTAAGTATATATTGTTTCTGGGAGAAGGGAGGGAGGGGGCGGGGCGGGGGTGGAGGGAGAGAAGGGAGGGGGGTGGCGGGTCGGTGGGGGGTGAGGGGGATCTGTAGCGCTATGAACCGTTTTTGCCAGAGGCTCACCCATCAAATGAGGGTAGTTCACAAAACGAACACGTCACTTCACGGGTGCTGCAGAGATGAACCAGTCAGGATCCGGCTTTATGAGAAACGAACATGTCAGAATCCGGGAATCCGGCCTCACACGATATTTTGCCGAAATCCGGGTAGTTACCCGTGAAAAATAAACCCTGGTGGGGGGTGGGCAGTGTGGGAAAGGGGCATTTCTTGCAGCCGTCATGCACAGGACACCACCCACGGAACAGAACGCTAGAGGGGTGGTTGTTACGAGTTCTGCACCACTTGCTGTGCGGAGCCCGAATTCACATGGGCGCTTCTGCCTCTTCCCGCCCAGCCCTCCAAGAGATGAGTCTCGTGCAACCTTCCTCTTGGGGCTCGAATCTCGATCCACACTAGGGTTTGGCCTGCACTTTCTAGAAGAGGTTCCAGATTTGTTGAACATTGCACAGTGAATGATAGCAGGCACAGTGTAAGACTACGAACGCCTTCGTCAATCTAGTCTGCAGTATGTCTAAGACTAGATTGTGTCAATGCATGCCCTCATGTGACCGTGTAAGGGGAACGGTTGAACAGTTGAACTCGTAAATAATCTCAAAAGGACGGATTTCAGCCACACCTAGGTTGAGGGAAAGCGGAGTGACGGATTGAGGGTAACAGCGAGACCGTCTACGCCGTATGGCTGGGAATGTTGGTTCACCGCAGCAACAGCAGCAGCAGCAGCAGCAGCAGCAGCAGCAGCAGCAGCAGCAGCAGCAGCAGCAGCAAGACGGACTATTCGGAACACAACGTCGATCCGATGGCAACACCAGCAGCGCCGTCAACGGCTCGTTCGCCGTCAACGGCGAGACGGCCGGCACTCCCTGGGCCACCTCCCAGGGCCCTGGACACATCGCCCTCGACCTATCCGGCGTTAACAGCGACGCTGGGGAGAACGACACGACAGGAGGCGCGGCTCGTTCGCCGGCGACGGTGTCTGAGCTTTCTGCCAGGTCCGAGATTGAAAAGTCGACCAAGGCGTACTCTAGAACTAGCAGCAGGGATGCCCGGAATGGTGGTCCTGGATCGGCGCCGCGACGACGCGCGGCGCCAAATGCGCTGCCAAACGCCGCGTCGGGCCGATGGCGCGGGGCGTGGCGGTCCCGGTCGCCGCATTCTACCACCAGCGCGCGATGGGGCTGGTTGCCGGGTCCCCAGACGCGACCCCAAACGCGACCCCATACGCGTTCCGAAACGGGCGGCGACCGCGGGAGTAGTAGAGGATCCAACCGCGTTCACGCCTCGAATCCCGCCGGCCACGGGAAAGGCCGCGTCGGCGGCGGCGGCGGCGGTGGCGGCGGCTGGGGGGGGAGCGGTAGAAGCGGTTCCGCGCGGGAGGACGCGTGGGATGAGGGGGAATACGCGCAAGGCGAGGGGAGCTTCTCCGACGGGGGGAGGGTAGCGCAGCCGCCGTCGTCCTCCGCCTCTTCCGCCTCCCGCCGTGGCGCGATGGCGAAAGGCGCGCCGTGCGCGCGGAGGCGGGGCTGGGCTGTGGATAGCAGCGTGAGAGGCGGCGGAGAATCTGGGGGTGGGGGAGCAGGGAGAGAAGGGGGGGGGGAGGAGCACGAGGAGGGGGATGAGCCGATGCGGGGGTGCGGCGGAGGGTGGGTGGGTGGGGGTTTGCTGGAGTGGAGTAGTCGGTCCAAGGTGTCGGCGTCCGTTCTCCGGTCCGTGACGCGCCCGCTTGTGCGACTCGACAAGCGATGGCGACAGGTGAGTCGCAAGCTAGTCCATTCCTCACTCCGACGTCGACGGCTTAGTGCCGTTCCGTCCGCATGTTAATCCCATTTCTCCCCTTTCTCCACTGTCTCCCCTTACAAAGCTCTTCCTCCTATAACCTCTCCCCCTCCCCCTTCCTTCCCCCTCCCTCCCGGGTTCCGCTTTCCCCCCTTAGCGGTTTCCCCCTTCCCCCCCCTCTCCTCCTCCTCTTTCCCCGGCCCAGCGCGTGGTGTGGCTGTGGCTGCTGCTGGCCCTTTCTCTCATCGTGCGCCTCAGATTCAGAAACCCCCCCCCCCCCCACATCCCCCCTCCTCCCCTCCCTCTCCCCTCCCCCTCCTCATCCCCTCCCCCCTCAGCGCGTGGTGTGGCTGTGGCTTCTGCTGGGCCTCGCGCTGACGGTCGGGGTCTTCGTCATCTCGGGCGTTAACAGCTTCCACGCGCGCTCCGTCTCCCTGCAGCGCATCTGCCTCCAACACGCGACCTACTTCGAGAACCAGTTCAACACCACCAGCAGCAGCGCCGCGACGATCACCGACCTAATAAGGACGTATTACCTCGCGGAGGACTCCCAGCAGAGCCTATTCGACCTCGCGACGTACCAGTCTTTCACGAGCTCGACGCCGTACGCGCGCCCGCTCGCCGCGGTGATTCTGTACGCGCATAGAGTGAACGCGACTATGCGCAGGCTGTTCGAGGCGAACCTCACGCAGCACGCGCTCTCGGACTGCATCTTCGCGCCGTCCGCCGCGGCGGGTTCCGCGCAGCATAAGACCTGCTTGCCGTATGACAGTCCGGGGGAGGGGCAGGGGGGCGCGGCGCAGGGGCAGGGGGAGGGGGAGAGGCAAGGGGAGGGGAAACAAGGTCCTGGGAAGGAGTACGGAGTGGTGATTCTTTATTCGAGCAATCCTGCGCTGCAGCTGGCGGATACGATCGTGCTGTCGCCGGGCATGGACATCGTCTCCTGTGAGTGCGCTGTGCACTGTGCGTGCAGGACGCATCTCTCACTCACTCCCACTATCCCCCTTTCTCTCTCTCCTCCTCTCTCGCGCGTGCGCGCTGTCGCCGCCTCTTCCGTCCCCCCCTCCTCTGCTAACACATTCCCCTCTTTCCCCATGCCCTCCTTCCCTTATGCCGCAATCAACTCGCCCCTCTCTCGCCCCTCTCGCCCCTCTCTCCCCTCTCTAATTCCACCCTTTTTCTCCCCTACCGATTCACTCACCGCCCGCCCCTCCCCCACCTCCCCCCCCCAGTTCCTCCCTTCGCCTCGGCTCTGGACCACACTCTCCGCAAGGGCGTCATGGGGGCTATCTCCGAGCCCTTCCTACCCCCCCCCGCACCCTCCACTAACTCCACCCCTTCTCCACCCGTGTCTCCCACTCTCTGCTCCGCCCCCGCCCTCTCCGCTCCCCCCCCCGCCCTCCCCCTCCTCTCCCCCCCCCAGTCCCCCCTTTCGCCTCGGCTCTGGACCGCACTCTCCGCAAGGGCGTCATGGGGGCTATTTCCGAGCCCTTCTTTCCCTACGCCTCCCCCCCTTCCTCGCCTTCCTCGCCTTCCTCCTCCTCCTCCTCCTCCTCGTCCTTCTCTCCCCCTCGCCCCGCCACCCTCGCCACTATATCACAGGCATTCCCTGTCTTCGACCCGGATTTTAACATCTCAGCGCTTAACGGCCCCGCCAACCTCTCCTCCGCTCTCGCCTCCCCCTCTTCCTCCCCCTCCGCCTCCTCCCCATTTTCCGTCCCGCCCTCCCCCGCTTCCCCCAACTCTTCCTCCTCCTCCCCCCCTCGTCCTCCCCCCCCTCTCCCCCCTCCTCCTTCCCCTCGTCTTCCCACTCCCCCCCCTCCTTCCCCTCCCCGTTCTCCCCCTCATCCTCCCTATCCTCGGCCTCCCTCTTCGCCTTCTCCCCTTCCCCCTCCGACCCGTCTTGGTTCAGCCATCTGATCCGGGGGTGGGTCATCGTGGCTTACAACTTTACCATTCTCTCCGATGGTCCCCTCCCCACCGCCTCACCCATCTACACCGTTCTCTACAAGCGCACGCCCAAATCCTCCTCCTCCTCCTCCTCCGCCTCCTCCCCGTCCCCCTCTTCTACTCCCCCCTCGTCCGCTTCCCCCGCTGCCCCCCCTGCTTCTGCCTCTGCGCCTGCGTCCGCTGCACCTCCCTCCCCCTCCTCGTCCGCCCAATCCCCCAAGACCACTGCCACCACCACCACCGCCGCCGCCGCCGCCGCCACTGCCCCATCGCCTGTCACGGACGACCCGCCCCCCCCTGCGAGCGACGACCCCTACTCGTACACATACGAGCCCCTGCACGCGTCCGCGGGGCTGAGCCTGGCGGGCGTGGATGCCGTGCGCGACTTCCCCCTCTCGCTGCCCATCTACCTGGGTGATCCTTCCCAGTCCTTCCAGCTGCACTGCCGGTAGGGTTGGGGGGAGGGAAGGGAAGGATAGACGGGGTTAAGCGTCCGCGGCGCTGAGCCTGGCGGACGTGGATGCCGGGTGTGTGCGACTTCCCGCTCTCGCTGCCCATCTACCTGGGCGTCCCCAGCCAGTCCTTCCAGCTGCACTGCCGGTCGGGAGTTGGGGGGTAGGGAGGGAGGGATAGATGGGGGGAATGCATTAGCGGGGCTGAGCCTGGCGGGCGTGGATGCTGTGAGGAGAGAGGGGGTGCTGTGAGGAGAGAGGTGGTGCTGTGTAGATGCTCCTCCCCCTCCTCCTGCTGTCCCCCTCCTCCCCCCCCTAAACCAGGTACATACACACCACCCACATCCCACTCTCCCCGGTGCTCTGGGCTCTGCCCGTGCTTCCCCCCTCGTCTCCAAATCCCACTTCCCTCCTCACCGTTCCTTCTCCTCTCCGTGCTTCCCTCCTCTCTCCCTCCTCTCTCCCTCCTCTCTTCCTCCTCTCTCCCTCCTCTCCCCCCCCTGTCCCCTGCCCCCTGCCCTTCTCCCCACTCTCCCCCCCCCTCCTCCCCCCCCCGGCCCCCCCAAACCAGGTACATAAACACCACCTACATCCCCGTGTCCCCCGTGCTGTGGGCGCTGCCCGTGCTGCTGCTGGTGCTGCTGATCGCGGTGGTGCTGTGGGCCATCGTGCGCGGCGTGGAGCGCATGGAGGGCGACTACCTGCGCATGGTGCGCCTCAAGGACCACATGGCCGCCGCGCTCGCCAGTGCGGAGGCGGCTAGCCGCGCCAAGGGCGCGTTTCTCGCCACCATGTCGCATGAGATCCGCACGCCCATGAACGGAGTGATCGGTGAGTGAGACGGCGGGGCGTGATAGGTGAGAGGGGGGGTTTGTGATTTGTCTCCCCTCTCCCCCCCCTCCCCACCGCCGCCGCCGCCGCCCACCCCCCCTCCCAAAGCCCTCGTTCCCCCATGGTCTTTGTGATGTTGCATCGCACGAGACCCGCGCACCCATAAATGGAGTCATAGGTGATAGGGGGATGGATGGATGGATGGATGGATGCTGCACCTCCTTTTCCAGACGCCTCTCGACCCCACTCTACTCTTCCCCCCACTTACCACCATCTCCCTGTCTCCCCACGTCTCCCCCCGCGCTCCCCCGGGCATGCTGAACCGCCTCCTCCAGACGCCCCTCGGACCCCACGCAGCTCGAGCCTATCCCTTCCTTCCCTCTCCTCAAATTCCACAACCCGTCCCCCCCATTCCCCCCCGTCTCCCCCGTCTCCCCCCCAGGCATGCTGAACCTGCTTCTCCAGACGCCTCTCGACCCCACCCAACTCGACTACGTGGAGACGGCCCGAGCCAGCGGGCGCGCGCTCTGCACGCTGATCAACGACATCCTCGACCTCTCCAAGATCGAGGCCGACCGCCTCGAGCTCGAAGCCCTCCCCTTCGATCTGCGCGCCGAGATCGACGACGTGCTCGGGCTGTTTGTCGACCGCACGGCTGAGAAGCCACAGGTGGAGCTGGCGGCTTTTGTCGCGGACTCGGTGCCTAGCCGGTTGGTCGGGGATCCACTGCGGTTCAGACAGGTTCTGGTGAACCTGATAGGGAATGCGTTTAAGTTTACCCAGGACGGTCACATCCTGCTTTTTGTCCGGGTGGCTGATGCTGCGGAAATGGTGGTGCATGAGGTGAATGGTCGAAGCCGGAGTCACCACGAGTATTCCGACGCTCCCTCTGTTCCTGCTGCTGCTGCTGCTGCTGCTGCTGGTGCTGGTGCTGGTGCTGGTGGCATCGCCTGTGGCCCAACTGCTAGTGCTGGGGCTGGGGCTGGAGCCGGCTCTAACTCTGCTCTAGCTGGAGTTCCTGGGAGCAATGCACCCAACAGCAACAACGGCATCAGCGGCAGCGGCAGCGGCAGCACCAACACCCCCTCCGCAGCCCGACTCTCCCCCCACGCACCTCCCAACAACGCCCACTCTTCCGCCCCTGCCCCTTCCCCCACCACCGACCCGCCCACCTCCGCCCCCCTGCCAACGCCCCCGCCGCAGCAGCAGCGGCCGGCGACCGAGATGGTAGTGGTGGACGCGGAGGGGAAGAAGGAGTACCTGAGTCTGAGCGGGAAGAGGGTGATGGGGAGTGTGAGCAGCTGGAGCCAGGTGCGGCACCTGCTGGAGAGCGGCGGGGCGGCGGCGAGGAGGAGCGTGAGGGACGGGCAGACGGTGCGGCTGGTGATCAGCGTGGAGGACACAGGTGGGTGGGTGGGTGTGGGGGTTGGCCTTCTTGGAGGGTCGCCTCCTTGTGATAATTATCGTGTTTAGAGAGGCGTGCAGACGCGCTTCTCAAAACACTAGTGACCAGTGTGGAGGACACAGGTGCGTGTGCGTGGGCTTTCCTGACGCGCCCCTCATGCCTCCCGCTCATGCCTCCCGCTCATGCCTCCCGCTCATGCCTCCCCCCCATGCCTCCACTCCCTCCCCCTCATCGTCACCCCCTCTCCCTCTACCCGCGTCTCGCAGGCTGTGGCATACCGGAGAGGGCACGGCACCTCATATTCCGCCCCTTCACCCAAGCGGACACCAGCACCACTCGCCTGCACGGGGGCACGGGAATCGGCCTCTCCATCTGCCAGGTAGGTTAGGCTGATCTCGTCTCACACAATCACCCTTGTCTTGTCGTGTGAGGGCGTAATATCTCACCTCCATTGGCTTTCTCACATCCCCCCTCCTCTTTGCCCTGCGTTCTTCCCCTCCCCCCCTCCTCCCCCCCCCCCCCGCTTCCCCCCTCAGCGTCTGGTGAACATGATGCGTGGCAGCATGTCCTTTGTGTCATGCGAGGGCGTGGGCACCACCTTCTTCTTCGACGTCGAGCTGCGAGCCGCCCCCCTCCTCTCCACCACCTCCTCCTCCTCCTTCTCCTCCTCTTCCCACACTGACGCTGCTGCTGCTGCTCCTGCTGCCGCTGCTGCTGCCGATGCTGAGTTGCCTGTGGCTGCATCCGACCATGCTTTCGGGCATTCTCTCGCCCACAGCACGGCTCTAACCAGCATGGATCTGGGTGGTGACTCCAGCCAAGCGTTGCCCAAGCATGTTCCCTCACAGGTTGCATCAGCTGCTGCTGCTTCAGCAGCAGCAGCAGCGGCAGAAGCACCAGCAGCAGCAGCAGCAGCAGCCGAATTGACCATGTCCGTCCCCACCCCCAGTGCGCACGCCCTCACGTCCCACTCCTCTCCTCTCCTCACCGCCCGCGTTCTCCTAGTCGACAACCGCCCCGTGCGCCGCGCGGTAACCGCCTCCTCCCTGCGCCGCCTGGGCCTGCGTGTGTACCTCGCCTCGTCCCTCTCCGACATCCCCCTCGTGCTCCACCCTTCCGGCCCTGACCCCGGCTTCTCCCCCCCTCTCGAGGTGGTGTTCTCCTCGCCTGACTCTATCCACAGCAAGGAAGACGCGTTTCCTAAGAGGGGTGTGGCTGTCGCAGGGGGACGGGCAGGGGGAGGAGGGGGAGGAGGAGGGGCAGGGGGGTCCGGAGGGGGGGGCTATGGGGTGAGCCTTGGCGGAATAGCTGGCATGGGTAGGGCGAGTTGCAGTAGTGCGAGGGGGGGGTTCTGGGAGAGGACAGGGAGGGGCGGAGGAGGGACGGAGAGGGAGAGGGAAATGAGGGAGCCGAGTGCTTATGACGGCTCACTTACTGGTGGGGCTGGTGGTGGTGTTGGCAGTCGTGCTGGTGGTGCTGGTGCGAATGCTGCGGGTTTGGCTGGTGCCTCTGGTGGCGGTGCGGGTGTTTCGGGTGGGGCTTTCGCGGAAGCAGGGGGTCCTCTTCATAGGAAAAGCAGGTCGGATTGTGATGCCCTTGGCCTTGCCGCTGCTGCGGCTGTGCTCAAGTACTCCGATTACACCAACACCAGTACCATAGGCAAATCTCCTCTGCTCTTCTCCCCTCCTGCTGCTGCTGTCGTTGCAGCAGAGGAAGCAGCAGAGGCAGAAAGAGCAGAAGCAGCAGCGGGGACAGGAGGAGCAGCAGCAGCAGCAGCACGGCAGCATGTTACCTATAACAGGTCTCGGGAGCGGCAGGAGGAACATGAGAAGCAGGAGGGAGGGGAGGGGCGGAAGGAGAGGGGAGTGTCGCTGGTGTTACTAGAGCAGAGTGTGCTGTTGATGCGCGGCAGGAGAGTGTCTGGGGAGGAGGTCCGTACATTGATCGACCGTGCCCTCAACCCCGCTGTTTTCGCGGCCGCTCCCGCTCGCACGCATACGGCAGCAACAGGAGCAGGGACGGCAGGAGGGGCCGGAGGGGTAGGAGGAGGGGCGGGAGTGGAGGCAGGGGCAGCAGCGGGGGATATCTCTAGCAGTAGCAACCATACTTGCAGCAACAACCGGAGCAATCGCACCAGTTTAGGCAACAGCAACAGCAACAGCAGCAGCAAGAAGAGCAAGACTACCAAGGTGCCTCTGCCGAGCATTGCTGTGCTCGTCCAAACCCCCCCCTCCGACCCCTCGTCTCTCGCTGGCTTTGATGGCACTGTGAGGAAGCCCCTCAGGCGCAGCGCTCTGCTGGCTGCCCTTCCCCCCCTCATTGCGATGCATGCTGACAGCACTGGTTGCGGCAACAGTGGGTGGGGAGCTGCAGGGACAGGAGGGGTGGGAGCAATGGGAGGAGAGGGAGGAGTGGGAGGAGTGGGAGGAGTGGGAGGGTCAGAAGGAGTGGGGATTGGCACCGAGGGTAATCCTGGGGGTAGGGAGTTGGGGAGGGATCGTTACACACTTTCACCTGCTGCTGCTGCTGTAGTGGAGGATGCAAGCACGTATGAAGCTTGTGTTGAAAGCACTCCGCTCCTATCCGCCTCCTCCCATCGCAACGGCGGATCTGCCCCATCAGCACCACCACCAGCAACAGCCGCAACAGCAGCAACAGCCGCAGCAACGGCGGAGGCGGCGATAGCAGGGGGTGCCGGTGGTGTCAGGGGGCAAAGGGGCCCACGGGGCGACATGGGAGCGAGAGGAGCAAGGGCAGAGAGAGGGGGGGAGAGGGGAGATTGGGGGTGGGAGGGGTGCAGAGTGCTGGTGGTGGATGACAATCTGGTGAATCGCAAGGTGGTGTCGAAGGTGCTGCAGCGGTTTGGAGTGGAGGCAGTGGCTGTGGACAGTGGAGCCGCTGCTGTGGCTGCGCTGACGTTGCCGCATGCCTTCCAAGTTGTCTTCATGGACCTGCAGGTGCGTGTGTGGTTGGAGAGTATGTATGGTTAGAGAATGTGTGTGGTTAGAGAGTATGTGTGGTTAGAGTAGGAACGAACTTTAGAGTGGACTAGAAGTGTACGAGGAGGAACGAACGAGGAGTAGGGAACGAATGCCGCATGCCTTCCAGTTGTTTTCATGGACCTGCAGGTGCCTGCGCGGTTAGATGGTGGATTTTTTAGTCGACTCAAAACCTGCAGGTGTCTGCGCAGTTAGATGGTGGACTTTTGAGTCGACTCAAAACCTGCAGGTGCCTGCGCGGTTAGATGGTGGACTTTTGAGTCGACTCAAAACCTGCAGGTGCCTGTGCGGTTAGATGGACTTTTGAGTCGATTCAAAACCTGCAGGTGCCTGCGCGGTCAGATGGTGGACTTTGAGTCGATCCAAAACCTGCAGGTGCCTGCGCGGCTAGATGGTAGACTTTTGAGTCGACTCAAAACCTGCAGGTGCCTGCGCGGCTAGATGGTAGACTTTTGAGTCGACTCAAAACCTGCAGGTGCCTGCGCGGTTAGATGGTGGACTTTGAGTCGACTCAAAACCTGCAGGTGCCTGCGCGGTTAGATGGTGGACTTTTGAGTCGACTCAAAACCTGCAGGTGCCTGGGCGGTTAGATGGTGGACTTTTGAGTTGACTCAAAAGCTGCAGATGCCTGCGTGGTTAGATGGTGGACTTTTGAGTTGACTCAAAAGCTGCAGATGCCTGCGCAGTTAGATGGTGGACTTTTGAGTTGACCCAAAACCTGCAGGTGCCTGTGCGGTTAGATGGTGGACTTTTGAGTCGACCCAAAACCTGCAGGTGCATGCGCGGTTAGAGAGTGGACTGGTTTTTGAGACACCTCAAAAATAGTCTCCACCTGCAGGTGTCTGCACGGTTGGACAGTGGGGTCTGATGATTATCGTGCTGAATGGAGGGGCCAGTCTCCTGCTGTAACTCCCTCTCGCCGTGATTGCCTCCTTCATGTCTCATCCTGTATTCTCCCTCCCCACAGATGCCTGGGATGGACGGGTTGGAAGCCACTCGTCGAGTGAGGCAGGCAGAGCAGCAGTACCAACGCAACCAGCAGCAGCAGCAGCAGCAGCCGCAGCAGGTATGCCTTCACGTGCCCATCTTTGCGCTCACAGCGGACTCCATCGGCGAGGTGCGCCAGCGCTGCGAAGCAGCAGGCATGGATGGGTGCCTCTCCAAGCCCATTGAGGAACGCGAGCTCATCAAGGTGTTAGGTTCTGCTGTGCCTGCGAGTTAGAGGAGGGAGAGGGAGTGTGAAGGGGAGAGGGTGACTTTGAGAAGGTGGCTTTGAGAGCATGGCTTTGAGAAGGTGGCTTTGAGCGGTTCGAAGCAAGGGGCATGGGTGGGTCTCCCAGCCATCAAGGGAAGGGAGCTGATGACTCTGCTGCTGGGGCCTCCCCCAGCCCAGCACTGCAGGGGGCCCCTATCACAGGAGCCCTGTGACTTGAGAGTGTGAGATGAGATGTTACTTGCGAGTTTTGAGCAAGGGAGTGGAAATGAAGTCAGGCAACGTGGATTGAGGGCTCCAGTGTGGGCCATTGGTTTTAAGTTATTCGGGCAGTGCGCACATTGTCATACTTTGTAGCATGCACATCCTTGTCTAACGTTTGAGCATGTGTTGCACATTGCTGTGGCCACTACAACTTGGATTTGGTACTTCGGCTTGTACTATAGCCTTGATTATTGTCTATTACTTGCTAACAGATCCACTTCATTGTGTTTTTTCCTTAAGTTCGCGGTTTTGCTACTTTGTTGTATGTAAAGATTGCTTCTAACGGAGGTTGTAGTGCGAATTAGTATTTAATCGGATTGATGTGCCTAGTTATGCCCTCAACGGGAACCACGAGGAAACAAAACTCGTTAGCAGCAGTGCGAGCGACGATGGACGGATTTTCGCGACAAGCTGTAACTCGTTAGGGCCGTCTAGAAAAATCGTTTAGCCGTTTTGGACACGGCGGGACGTGCGGCGATGCAAAAAGGGAATCGATTCCAAAGACGAACCTGCTAAGAAACGCCTCCCCTTGAAGGGGTACACGGGTTTGACGCGCCAAGTGGGCAGCCAGGCTGTCTGATCGGTAACTCTGTCTCACCAAACGAAATGGGCGACAAGATCGTGAAACACAAAGCCAGCCAATTGGTGGAGAGCGTTGCGTAGAGGTTTGTTTGAGTGGTTGGACTGTCCTGCTAGGCGACGTGCGAGTGCAGGAGTAGCTCGATCTTTTCGCCACCATCTTTCGCCAGCACTGGAAAATGAATGAAGTACGAATAGGTGTGTCGAATCGCATTTCTTGTGTATGTGTGGAGGTGCTCCGAAACGTCCATGCGCGTCCCCAAATTTGTGCGACAGGTTTGCTTGTCCTTATGGGACGGTTTTTTGGGTTACAACCCTAAAAGTGGTAACCGAACTCGATGTTGAACAAGGTATGAGCTTTTTATGACGCGCCCTAAGCAGCCGCACGTCCTACCCGAAGCAACCGATATGGCGAAAATGGCCAGTACGCGCGGGAAAGTGCAGCACACGACCAGACAAAAGCACAGCCATGTTTCAATTCAAACTTCCCCTCCCGTTGAGCCGCGAATCGCGGCACTTTTGCGGTGGGCGGCGCCTTGAATTGATGTGTCCCATTTACCGCGCCGCATCTTCAATTTCAATGCAACCCGGTTTTCCCAGCAAGCCGTCGCCAACCAGGGAAAACCAGTCGTCGCAACTGTCGGCATTGCGTCACGAAGCGAACACTAAACCAGCCATCACGTTTTCGGCACCACATGTGCCTCGAGCCCACTGGCCTGCAGAAAGCGACCAAGGCTGGAAAACTGCAGGGGCGAAAGACTGGCTATGGCTGATGAGTCAAGTGCGTCTGCTTCTCCTCCAAAGCTCCTCACTCGCGGCGCCGTGCCCCTCTGCTGTAGCTCCCTCTTGCTCACCTTTCCGTACTTTGTGTGCCACTCCTAACTCGGGCTGCTGCTAACTTGGGCTGCTGCTAATTCGGGCTGCCGCTAATCACCTAAGACTGATTGCCCTACTTATCCTTGCCTGACGCGGGAAATATTCTTAACCATCTCGGCAAGAACAGGGTGCTGCAGAATCCTCGGCCCGCGAATCATGCGTGTCCATCTGACCTAGCCGGCAGCCACAATGAGAGTCATCGGCCGACCAACAGAAGAGAGATCAGTACAATCATCAACCTTATCATCAGCCATAGTCCAAGTTCGCAGATTAATTAGCAGGCCTAGGCTCTACGCAGCTCGACCTACTAATTACTCACCACCTCATTTAGGAAACATCGCGCTTCGGCGGAACCTAGCGGCGCTCGTGGTTCTGAGCTTGCTGACGTGGAGTTTTCCGCCCGCCACGTGTTTTAACGAGTTCGGGCTGCTCGATTCTGAGTCAGCGCCTTCGTCCGAAGTCCACGGCGCAGTCAACGGCGCAGTCAGCGGCGCAATCAGCGGGGTCGATCCTAACCAAAGCGGCAGCGACACCACCGATTATTCTCCCTCTTATTACGACGACTATGACCCAGCCGATACCACTGACGGGCTGGCTGGTAGTAGAGTTGCCAGCCGAGCCGTCGCTGCGGCTGCGATCCCGTCAGCGACAGATGACAGTCTCACGGCGTCGCTCGGTTTGTCGCACGACGCCGTGTCTCGCCTTGCGACGTCCGCTTCTGATCGCGCCGGTGAGCCGTTCAAACTGCGACCAGACCTTACCGTAGAAAGCGGCGGCGACGGAAACGGTGACGGAAACAGCGACGGAGCGAATCCGTCGAAGGAGGACGGAGCCGCGGGTAGCGGCAGGGATGACGGCGGGGATGGCGCCGGGGATGGCGCCGGGAATGACGGCGGGGGAAGCGCAGAGAAGGATTCGAGCCCGCCTGACGCGGATGGCGGAACCGGCGACTACGGTGACCTGAGTACCGACGGTGATAGTAGTAGCAGTGGTGACGGAACCACCGCCAGTGGCGTCGATAGTGGTAGTAGCGGAGGTAGCAGCGGAAAAGGGAAAGAAGCGCAGTCGTCCCCCCCCCGTCTCTCCCCGCCACCTTCCCCCAGCCCGCCCCCTCCGCAACTGTCGCCTCCGCCCCCTTCCCCCTCCAAACCCCCTCCCACAAAATCTCCTTCCCCTCCTCCGCCGAAATCAGCTCCGCCGCCGCCGAAGTCCCCCCCCCCACCTCTCCGCCGAATCCCCCCCCGCCGTCGCCTCCGCGAACTCCTCCGGCTTCCGCTGCTTCCGCGCTGTCATGGGGCGGGTTCAAGGTGCGCGATAGTAGTGGCGTCTCAAGCGGAAATAGCAGCAATTCGAGCACGAAGGCAAGTGGCAGCAACGGCAAACCAAGTAACGGCACCAGCAACAGCAGTGGCAGCAGCGGCAGCAACGGCAGCAGTGGCAGCAGCGGCAGCAGTGGCAGCAGCGGCAGCAGCGGCAGCAGTGGCAGCAGCGGCAGCAGCGGCAGCAGCGGCAGCAGCGGCAGCAGCGGCAGCAGCGGCAGCAGCGGCAGCAGCGGCAGCAGCGGCAGCAGCGGCAGCAGCAGCAGCAGCGGCAGTTGGGGGGGGTCGAACCGTAGCACATCAACATCGCTGCTCTCATCAGGGTCGGGCTTTAAGGGCCGTAATGGCAGTAGCAGCGGCAGTAGCAGCGCCAGCAGCCCCAGCGGCAGCAATAATAGCAGTACCAGCAGCAGCATCAAGGGCAGCAGCAGCAGCAGCGGCAGCAGCAGCAACGCAACCACCTCACCCGGCGGCCAGGCCCTTCATACCGCCAGCCCGCATTCCCCGCCGCCTTCGTCAGCTCTGACATCCATGACGCCTCGCAACCCGCCTAGCAGCAGCAGCAGCGGGGGGGGAGGCAGTAGTGGCAGTGGAAATGGCACAGGTGCTAGTGGGAGCACCGGTGGGGGTGGGAGTTTTAAGAGCGTCCCGCCTTGGTCTTCTGGAGGGAATGGGTTCAAGCCGAAGGCGGGTAGCAGTAACAGTAGTGGTAGCAGTAACAGTAGCAGTGGTAACAGTAACAGTGGTGGTAACAGTAACACTAGCAGTGGTGGCGCTAGTAGTGGGAGCGGCAGTGGCAACTCAACAGGAGTGCTTATTACCAAACGGCCCATTACCCCTCGAGTCAACAGCAGCAGTGGGAGTAGCAGCAACAACAGCGGCAACAGCAGCAGCGACAACAGCAGCAGCGGAAACAGCAGTGGGAGTGGCAACAGTACCTTCTCTGGTACCCGTCCCATGACAAGAAGAAACAGCACCAGGAGTAGCAACAGCAGCAGCAGCAGCAGCAATAGCAGCAGTACAGGATCGACTTACAAGGGTACAGCCTTCAAACTCAATTTGAAAAACAGCGGTTCCAACAGCAGCACTGGCAGCAGCAGCAGCAGCAGCAGCAGTAACAGCAGCGTCCGCTTCCCACCATCCACCGGATTTGCAGCAGGCCTTTCCAGCACTTACAGCAGCAGCAGCAGCAGCGGTACAGAAGAGAGGCGGAATGGAGATGAAAGTAGAGCGGGGAGTGCGGATGGTGGCGGGTCGACTTTTAGGAGGAGACAGAGCGTTCCCACGGCCAATGCAGGGACTTACAACATCAAATTCGGTACCGGTGGTTATGGTGGCAGCGGCGGCAGCAGGAGTAGAAGGAACAATGCTGCTGTTGCTGCTGCTGCTGCTGCTGCTGCTGCTACTTTCGATTTTGAAGTGAGTGCTGATGCTGATGCTGATGCTGATGAGGGAGATGTGGGCGGGTACGATATTGATGGTGATTATAGCGAGGGTAGTGAGAGCACGGAGGAGGAGCAGGATGCTGGCCGGAGCAGGGATGGGAAGGGAGGCAGCACGGGTGGAGGCATCAGTGAGAACGCACGGCTGCATGTGAATCACGGTGCTACTGCCATTGCTGCTGCTGCTGCTACTGCTACTGCCGCCACTGCTGCTGATGCTGGTGGTGGGGAGTATGGCACTGTGGGTGGTGGTCAGCCCTCCTCCCCTCTCTCCTCCCAGTCCTCCTCCCCTCTCTCCTCCCAGCCCTCCCCCGCTCTCTCCTCCCAGCCCTCCCCCGCTCTCTCCTCCCAGGCCTCCTCCCAGCCCTCCACCCCGCACTCCTCCCTGGACTCTCCAACTACAGCCGCCTTGTCTCCCCGCCCTAACCTCTGGTGGCAGGTGCTGCTAGACGCGGGGGAAAGCTATGGGGGGGCAGGGCTAGGAATGGGGTACTCTGACGGGGGAGGGGGAGGCGGAGGGGGAGGCGGAGAGGGGGAAGAGGGGGCTGGGGGGAAGAAGGCAGGGGTGGAGGAGGCGTCGGTTGACTATAGCGATAGTGACTATCAGGGGTTCGATTGGAGCGGTATTGACGGTGGTGGTAGTGGTGGTGGTTCAGCTGCTGCTGCTGCTGCTGATGGTGCTGGTGCTGATGGTGATGGTGGTGATGTAAGTGACAGTGAGGAAAGTGACTATGAGGGGTTTGATTGGAGCAGCACGCATGATGGAGGAGGGGCGGATGTGACTGTAGGCAGCGGCAATGGTGGTGACACTGGGGGTAGTGGTGATAGTAATGATGGTGCTGCCAGTGACGATGGTGGAGGAGGGGTCAATGAAGCATCGGACGACTATGAGGGGTTCAATCTGGATGGAGGGGGGGATGATTCCAGTGATTCCAGTGATTCCAGCGATCCCCAGCAAGGGAACGGTAGTGCCACAAATAGCACTGTTGCTGGCAGTGGAGCTGCTGATAGTGACAGTGGTGCGGGTGGGGTCACTGGCAGTAGCGACTACGCCGCAGCTGATGCTGCTGCTGATGGTGATGCTGATGGCACCACCACCGCCGCCGACAGCGATGTCAACGGCGGCAGTTCGGATAACACGAGCGGCGACGGCGAGTACAGCGAGTCACAGGGGGAGCAAGACGACGGCAGCATCGACGCTCTGGACTACCTCCACGTCAGAGACGGCGGTGCCACGGACGCATTGGGCCTCCGAGCCACCTTCACGCCTCAGCCCAGCAGCAGCAGCAGCAGCAGCGGCAGCAGCAGCAGCGGCAGCAGCCGTGGCGGCCAGGACTCTCGCACGGACCCCTCTCGCATGAAATCCCACCGAGGCTCGCCCTCCCCCTCTTCCCCCTCACCCCCCGGGTCTTCTTCCTCCTCCAACATGTGGCCTTCTACCTCCCCCTCCCCCTCCTCCTCCTCCCCCTCGTCGCCTTCTGACGGCAAGTCCGGGTTTAAGGGCCGACAGAAGTCCAAAGGAGGAGGAGGAGGAGGAGGAAACTCCGCCTCTCCACCCTCTAGAGACTCTGGCTCGGGCGTGTCCCGTACCGCCCCTGCCGCCCCTACCGGCCCTGGTTTCCAGAATAAGGCGCCTAAGCCTGCTGTGGGGGGAGGCGGGGGAGGGAGCGGGGGCGGCAGCAGGGGGGGCAGTGGTAGCAGCGGGGGTGGGGGGAAAGGGGGAGGGGAGGACGGGAGTGTGGGGCAGCTGCACCTGCTGTCACGGAACGAGACGAGGGCGAGGTGTCTGGATGGCAGGTGAGGCAGAGAAGGGGGTGGGGATGGGGGTGGGGATGGGGGTGGGGATGGGGGTGGGGATGGGGTGGGGATAGAGGAAAAGGGGGGGGAGAGCGGTTGGGAAGAGGATGGAGGGAGGGCAGGGGGTGTTATGGGGAGCCTGTTTTTGAGGCGCCTCGAAAAGTGTGAGTGAGTGTGTTGAGTGAGGAGCTATGGTGCTGCATTGTCCATGTCTCCCCGCATCATCTCTCGTCACGTGTTGACTGACTTTCGCTTGGCCTCCTCCACTTCCTTACCCCCTCCGTGCCTGCAATTGTCATCAAACCGCCAGCTTTCCCCTCCACTCCTGTCCTCTCGTTGCTCTCCAACCCATCCCCCATCACACCGCAGTGCTGCGGGCTACTACCTGCGCAGAGGGTTCGGCTCAGGGGCCAACAAATGGATTCTCTTCCTAGAGGTGCGCCTTCCCTCCCTCCTGCCGTCCTCCTGTTTTCTCGTGCCCCTAAGGCTCTCTATAAGGTTCCCTGTTAAGGTTGGCTCTTTTAGGCTGACTCGGTAAGGTCACTCCCATGTGTGCAATGACGCTCTAAGGTGCTTACTATCGGTGTCTCTCCCGCCTTGCGTCTTCTCTGCCCGTGGCGTGCATGGGTGCAGGGGGGAGGGTGGTGTTTCAACCCCAAGCAATGCACTGCGAGGGCCAAAGGACCGCTTGGGAGCTCAAGGCAATGGGCTTCCACACATGTGAGCCCTGTTCGCAACTGGTGTTGGGGCCCTTTCCTCGTTCACATGCATTCGACGCGCTTGCAAACCGTGCAGAATGGTTGTGTACACATTCGTTTCACCGGCCCCACAACCCCCCCCTCCCCGCCCCCCGCTCTCCATCCCCACACTCCCAACCCCCCCATCCCCCCACTCCCCCATTCTCTCCCCCGCAGCCGCTCAACTACGGCGGGGTAGCGAGCACGGAAAGCAGCGCCAACCCGGCCTTTTTCAACTGCAACTTCGTGCTGCTCAAGTACTGTGGCGGGGGCTCCTTCGCCTGTGTCTGGCTCACTTTGCCCACACCTCCCTCTCCTCCCTCACCTCCTCCCGCTCAACCCCTCTCTTTCCTCCCTCTCTCTCTTCCCGTTCTCCTCTCCCCCCTTCTCTCTCCCATCTCCCCACTCCTCCTCTCCCCCCCTTTCTTCAGCCACTCAACTACGGCGGGGTAGCGAGCACGGACAGCAGCGCCAACCCTGCTTTCTTCAACTGGAACTTCGTCCTTCTCAAGTACTGCGACGGGGGCTCCTTCGCCGGCTCCGCCTTCGGCCGCCCTGCCAAGCCTGACGCTGATGATGAGGCGGGGGAGGGTGGGGGGGATAAGGGTGGGGTGGCGGGGGGAGGGGACACGGGGGATCTGCGCACGCTGTTCTATATGGGGCACTGGAACCTGCAGGCGATTCTGCAAGGTGAGGAGGGGGGATAGGGGGGATAGGGGGGGGATAGGGGGGAGGGGGGGGATGAGGAGCGGGGAACAGCAGGGTGAGGCTCATAAGAGCTGAGCATGCTGTTCTCTATGGGGCACTGGAACCTGCAAGACGGAGGTGATAATAAGCGGGAGGGGGCAGGGCAGCAGTGAACCATTCAACAACCACCCCTCATTCTTCCCCCGCCCACCGGCCCAACCCAAACCACGCAGATCTGCTAGCAAGGCGCGGTCTGGAGCAGGGCACGGACGTGTGTGCTGATGTTGGGGGAAGAGGGGGGGGGGGAGGAGGGGGACTGTCGCACGGGCTCAGTGGCGGTGACGGTGGGTCTGATCTGCTGCGACCCCGTGGCTCCCTGGGCGGGTGGGGTGCTCCACACTCCCCTTCAATCCTCTCCCGACCTATTCCTGCTCCACCCACTCCACCTCACCCCCCGCCCAGACCTGCTAGCGAGGCGCGGGGTGAAATGAAGCAGGGCGCGGACGTGCTGATGGGATGAAGCAGGGGCGAGTGGCAGGTGTACCGCTTGCAACAACTCAGGCAGCCTTCCCCTTCTTCTTCTTTCCCCGCCCACCCACCCCCCCACACAGACCTGCAAGCAAGGCGCAGGGTGAAGCAGGCACGGACGTGCTGATGGGATGGAAGCAGGGGCGGGTGGCAGGTGGCGGGTGCAGCACGTGCAACAACTCAGGCAGCCTTCCCCTTCTTCTTCTTTCCCCGCCCACCCCACCCCCCCACACAGACCTGCAAGCAAGGCGCAGGGTGAAGCAGTCACGGACGTGCTGATGGGCGGGCGGGTGCAGTGCGGGCGCCGTGGCGATGTCGTTGGCGTTGTGTGCGATGGTCGCGGACATGCCCGCATCCCATAGTCTCTCATGGGCATGTGGGCGTGTGGGATGTGCCCGTTGAATCCACTGACCAACGCCCCTCCCTCTCCCCTTCACTCACCACGCAGACCTGCTAGCAAGGCGCGGGCTGAAGAAGCAGGGCACGGATGTGCTGATGGGCGGGCAGGTGCAGCACGGGCGCTGTGGCAGTGTCCATGGTGTGCGACCCCGTGGCCGCATGGGCATGTGGGCATGTGGGATGCGCCACTTCACTCGTCTCAAACGAGCGTCTCTCGCATGCTTACTCCTCCCCTCCCCTACGCAGACCTGCTAGCAAGGCGCGGGCTGAAGCACGGCACGGACGTGCTGATGGGCGGGTGCAGCGCGGGCGCCGTGGCGGTGTCCATGGTGTGCGACCCTGTGGCGGCTTGGCTTGCGCGCTTCCGCATCCGCACCAAGTGCTTCATGGACGCGGGGGTGTTTCCAGGTGCGTGCCGTGGGCTTTTGTGTGTCTTTCTTTGTTGTGTTACCTCGCTGGGTTTACTACCAACCAAGTGTGCTTCATAGACGCAGGCGTCTTCGCAAGTGCATGCGTGCATGCATGCGTGCGTGCATGCATGCGTGCGTGCATGCGTGCGTGCGTGCATGCGTGCGTGCATGCGTGCGTGCGTGCGTGCGTGCGTGCGTGCGTGCGTGCGTGCGTGCGTGCGTGCGTGCATGCGTGCGTGCGTGCGTGCGTGCGTGCGTGCGTGCGTGCGTGTGTGCGTGCGTGCGTGCGTGGGTGCATGCGTGCATGGATGTGTGCGTGCGTGCGTGCATACGTGAGTGTGTGCTGTGTGACACGGTGTGGCATGTGGCACGGGATTGTGGGTGTGTGTGTGTGTGTGTGTGTGTGTGTGTGTGTGTGTGTGTGTGTGTGTGTGTGTGTGTGTGTGTGTGTGTGTGTGTGTGTGTGTGTGTCTGTGTCTGTGTCTGTCCGTCCGTCCGTCCGTCCGTCCGTCTGTCTGTCTGTCTGTCTGTCTGTCTGTCTGTCTGTCTGTCTGTCTGTCTGTCTGTCTGTCTGTCTGTCAGTCTGTCAGTCTGTCTGTCTGTCTGTCCGTCTGTCATTTCCCACATAATGTTGGCCTCTCACAGTGCGGCTGCTTGACATGCCTGCTTCTTGCGCGTGGCTCGCGCGCTAAACGTTCGCATCCGCACCAAGTGCCAGATTTCATGTGTCCCTCATCCACCCTAACGTCCCTCATTCCTGTACCCCAAGTCAAACGTGGTTTGGTTGGCTACTATGGGCACTGCCGGTCACGTCAGCCTCTGCCACTGTCATCCAGTTACTTCCTCTCCCACCTTTCTCTACCAACAATAGCCTTTCTCTACCAACAAGACTCTTCTTCCCCTAGCCCACCTCCCCCTCGCACATCTACCCCGCCATCTCCGCACAACATGTGGTTGACTAGTTAACTATTACCGGCAGCGGTCTCTGTCAATCCCCTGCCATGCATAATCTTCTTCCCATCCCTTCTGGCAACGCGCTTAACGCTCACTCATCTTTCAAATCCCCCTCACGCCCTTTCACACGCCTTAACATCCCCCCCACCCCCTCACCTCCCCCCCACAGACGTGGTGGACTACTATGGCCAGCGGTCCCTAGTGCAGCGCATGGCGGCAAGCAATTCCCCTTCCCACTCCCCCCCCCCAACCCCCCTTCGTACGAAATTTCTCTATACCCCCCTCCCCCCCCCCCCCCCCCCCCCTCCCCTTTCCGCACCCTCCACAGACGTGGTGGACTACTACGGGCAGCGGTCGCTGCGGCACAAGGTGCAGCGCATGGCGGGCGCGCATAACATCAACCGCGCCGGCATCAGCACCCCCTGCAAGCGCTGTAAGCCACCCCCCAATCACCGCAAGCCAACGGCTTCCATATCGATACACACCAGGAAGAAAGCCAGGATGCCAGGAAGCCGTGCCGCTGCAACTTGCCGTTGCAGCAGCTGGAGCCAGTCAGCTATATGGCACTTGCTGTACCGCACAGCGCACAGGAGGACATGAAGCATTTGGCATATACTCCATCTACTTTATCGCTGATCTCCAGAGCACGCCCCTGTTGCCGTTCTCCCATTCTTCTCTCTCATCCCAACCCCAACCACCCTCCCCCTCCCCCCCCTTCCATTCCCTCCCCCTCTCCCCCTCTCCCCCTCTCCCTTCCCCACCAGCTCTAGCGAGCAGCAAGGACGCGTGGCGGTGTTTCTTCCCCGAGTACAACCTCAACTTTGTGCGCACGCCCATGTTCCTCGTCAACTCTCTCCTCGACTACAAGGCCGTCGCCGTCTCCCTCGCCCCGCGCAGCAAGTCCCGCTCCAACCCGCTCCTCCGCTGCATGCGCTCCCCCCGCTTCTCCTCCTGCTCGGCCTCCCAGCTCCGGCTGCTGCGCGCCTTTTCCCACCGGGTGAACAGTACGATCTATGGCATAGTGCGCAGCAGGGCGGCGGCAAAGGTGCCGTTCCGGGCGTTTACATTCAGCGCGTCAACGCATTGTGTGGTGGGGAGTAAGTACTGGAGTAGCCTGAGGATGGGGATGAGGGAGGGCGGGGAGGGGGAGGCAAGTGTGCGGGACATGAAGGATGTGGTAGGGGGAGGGGGAGGTGGAGGGGAGGGAGTCGGTGGAGGTGGTGGTGGTGATGTGAGCAGCAGTATCAGCAGCAGCAGTGGCAGTGGTGGCAGAAGTAAGGGGAGGAGGGAGGAGGGTACTTTGGAAGGGAGTTTCACAGACTGGTACTTCTCTTGAACCTCACATCACATGGGCTCTGTTTGGCAAATTGGCATCGGCATGGGCCCTGGATTAACCTGCAGAGTGTCAGGTGTCAGGTACACAGAGTGCAGAGTGGAACTGGAACCACCTGCTCTATCAGCGTCAAGACTCAAGAGTCCAGACCAGAATCCACACCGGTAGTGCTTATTAACCTGAGCACTCATACCATATGATGAGGCATCCAGTCCAGACCAGCTTGGCAACAGCACCCTAGCACAGACCAGCCTGCTACTTGACTGTCTCGGATCAGTACATACATACACCGCACCTGCATACAAGGCACCAGCAAGCACCCTCTCTGCTCACTCACTCGCTCACTCCAATTCCCCCTTGCATACACTTGTACTAACTGATTAACTACTTGTGGTGCCACTAGTGGAACTCCTGACCGGATGTGCTGGCGATGTTTGTTTTCATATGCAGACTCACTAAACCAGTATTCACAACCCCAGTATTGCCATGGCACTATTATTTGACAAGTTTTAGTTGAAGGAAATCCTCTATTACATAAATATGTAGATACAGTGCCCTAAGGTGACACCGTCCTACCTAAATACACAACCACACACAAGGTCGTAAGCAAGACGCAATAAATTCCTGTGATTCTAGTATTGTTAATGAGCCACAGCTCATATCTGCAGCATTCTATACAGCTATCAGCCCTGGTAGAGCACAACTTTATGTGTGGCAGGCAGTAACACACAAGTGTGATGGTGATGCTGCTGCTGCTGCTCGTGACTCTGCAGTAGCAATGGGAATTATGGCATCACAGCAGCAGGGACTGTAGTGGAGACAGTACCGGCAGCAGCGGAAGCAGCACCAGCACCAGTACCAGCAGCAGCACCACCACTGCCCCACCCCTCCTCCCGCCTCACCCCACTGCTTATCATGCTTCCGACAGTATATGCAAGCACAGCTGCGAGCGCAGCCGACACCTGATCCCCTGCCATCCGGCTGCAACTGCTACCGCTGCTATCACTGCTACCACTGCTTGTGAGACTGATACTGCTGCTGAAAAGCGCAGCAGGATCAGGGAACCAGCTGTAAAGAGAGTCGAGATACTCTCGGCCGAGCATAGAGGGTTGAGTGATGGAAGATGGGGCATGAGGAGCGGGAGGGGGAGGAGGAGGGGGAAGGTGATGAGGGGAAGAGAGTGATGATGGCAGTGAAGCGCCATGGCAATCTAGGTGCACGGGCCGTGGGTCTGCCCGTGCTGCAGTTGAACCAGGACCACCACCACCCACAGCTTCTTCAGTTAAAGTATCGGCAGCAGCAGCAGCAGCAGCAGCAGGTGCGGGAACAGAAACTGCACGTGCGGTAGCACCAGCAGCAGCAGCGGGAAGAGTAGACGTGAAGTAAGCAGCAGCAGGAGCAGAAGCACCAGCAGCAGGCACAGCCACAGCAGCAGCAGCCATGGCACCAGTACTAATGCAAGGAGCCAGGCCGAGCAACCCACTCAAGCTACTGGCACTCGAGCTACCCACAAGAGCGCAAGCACCACCAATATCACCACTACCACTATCTCTCTTGCTGCCCCTGCCTCCACCTGCGGCTGCATGAGCGCTGCGTGCCAGCTTACCACTCACACCTGACCTGCTGCCATGGCACGGCATCGACAATGGCTCAGAATGACCAGTAGAACCCCCCGCCTTGCGCCATTTGACTGCACCCTCTGCTCCTTTTGAACCCCCTGGGCACTCAGACCCCTCTGACCCCTCTGGCCCCTGCTCAGCCCTAGCACACTCGGCACCCCCCTTGGCAGCGGCAGCAGCAACGCCTGGAAAATTATCGGCGTCGGTAGAGGTATCTCTTGCAGCAGTCCCTTTACCCGCAGTTTCTTTGCTTGCGCAGTGCTTAGGGGCAGCTGGGGCGATCGGCACATGGTGAGTTCGCCTGAGCGGCTGCTGCTGCTGCTGCCGCTGCTGAAAGGGAGGGTTAGGGAAAGGTCCCGTGGCTGCCCTCCCTGCTGGCAGCAAGCCACTCATGCTGGCCTGCGCCTGCGCCTGCACCTGCTGCTGCTGCCACACTGCTTGCGGACTGGGCATGGCGGGGGCGGGCATGGCGGAAGGGGAGATGGCGGAAGTGGGGACGGCGGCAGTCTGCACAGCGGACCGGAACGCAGCAGCAGCAGCAGCCGCCGCAGCAGCAGCAGTGGCAGCAGAGGGGAAGGGAACGATTGCAGGGAGCGGCATGAACCCAGGGAGCATACTCAACGGCTGCGGATGTAGGTGCGCAGCTGAATACATACCTACGCTGCCGCTGCTGCTGTGCGGATGGTAGAGAGAGCCCTGCTCGCACATACCCGCCCCCATACCTCCACCCATACCCGCACTCATTGCCATCGCCGCATCTGGTCTGTGTGCTCCGGGCGGGAGAGTGGGGCCGAGAGGGGAGGAGAGACAGGAGTACAGAGGAGGAGGAGGAGCGTGTGGGGGAGGGGGGAGCCACGGGAGCGATGAGAGCGGGGGGGGAAAGCGGTGCTGGGGGGGGGCGTGGGAGAGTGGCGCCGGGTCCAGCGGTGGCGGGAGAACGGAATGCGCGTATGACGGAAGGAAGGCTTCGTGGGGCGGTGCTGCTACGCCAGGATTTCCTCCGCCTCCGCCTCCCCCGCCTCCGCCGCCGCCCCCCGCTCCGCCTCCTGACGCTTCGGCTGGTATGCAGTAGTAGTCACTCGCGACGCGTGCGCCTGCTACAGCTGCGGCGGCGGCTGTAGCGGCTGCGACGGCTGCGGAAGACGTGCCTGCGGGCATGCTTGCTGCAACCATGCTCTGCAGCATCTGCTGCTGCTGAAACTGCTGAAACTGCTGCGGCTGCTGGTGCTGCTGCTGCTGCTGCTGCTGCTGCAGCTGCAGATGAAACAACGCCTCCTGCCCTGCGCGGCCCGCGTCAAAGCCGTACGGAGGGGGCGGCGAAACCATCTCGATGTGCCTGCTCCTGCTCGGCACGCCATGGAGGAACCACGCGTCGGCGCCAGGAGGACCACTCGGGCATACTTCTGAGGCCGGGACCTGAGGTGCTTGAAGTGCTTGAGGTGCTTGAAGTGCTTGAGGTGCTTGAGGTGCTTGAGGTGCTTGAGGTGCTTGAGGTGCTTGAGGTGCTTGAGGTGCTTGAGGTGCTTGAGGTGCTTGTAGCACGCGAGTTTCCACTCGCTTATCCACGCACGAGCCCACTACGTCCCCGGCTGCGGTTAAGATCTGCGCCTGCTGCCACGCCGGCTGCGCTTGCCGCGGCGAAACCTTCCCCGCGGGGAGCTTCCCCTCCTGCGCCGCCTCCCCTTCCGGCAGCTTCCGCTTCCGCTGCGGCCTTCCGCGCTGCTGCTGCTGCTGCGTCTGCGGCGCCGGCGGCGACGGCTGAGCATGCGCCTTCCCCTGCCGCGGACCACCCGCTCCTGCGTCTGCGCCGGTCCGCGGGGTCTCGCATTGCGGGGCCTCCCTCTGTTGCTCCCCTTGCCGTTCCTTGGCCGCCCTCACATGCCTCCTCGCGTCTGCCTCGTCCGCGTTGCTCGCCGGCGATCCGCTCGTGTCATGCGACGGCGACGACTGCCCCTGGTGCGTCAGATCGCTCGGCTCGCTCTGCGAACTGCGCTTCGCCGCCACTCCTGCCGCAGCCGCCGCTGCCGCCGCCGTAGACGCCGCTGCCGCTGCTACTGCCGCTGCCGCTACTGCCGCTGCTGTCCCAGCCGCGTCGTCGGGATCAGTCCCCAACAGAAGGCCAGGCTCGCAACGCGTGACAGCACGTGACACGGACGGCTGCGCCTGCGGCTTCTGCCGGGGAGCCTCCGCGGAGGGCGGCGACCGCGGCACGCGCGAGGAATCGTCAGAGTCTCGTTTCGATGGCACACGCTCGCGATTGAGGGCTGGCGTTGCCCCTGATACTCTCGCCTTGCCGCGATTCCAGCTCCAGTCCGACGGGTTCAGGTCCCAGATCCCTCCGCCTGCTTTGCCGCCGCCGTCGCCGCCGGATCCCTTCCTCACGCTCGGATCCTCCCTGTCGCCGCCTTTCACGCTGCTGTTGTCGCTGCCTTGCATGCAGCAGGACTTGTTCTCTCCGTCTTCGCCGGACGCCTCAGCTGACGATTGCTTTGCTGTGGTTAGCTTTCCACCCGAAGTCGTCGCAGCACCGGCGGCGGCGGCGGCGGCGGCGGCGGCAGCGAGAGTTGGTTGTGTGGAGCCGAGCGCGTCAGCCGCACCTGCAGAGAAGGAAACGTGGAGATACAGGGAAGCAAGATAAAAATGCAGGATCAGATACGTGCTTCACAAAGCAGGCTCGACTGCTGGGGACGTGCATTGAGTGCAAGAGCCGGGCGTTAATTGATGGCGGCACGCGTGAAGTACCCACTGTAGACAGATTCAGCATCGACGAAAGTACGTTACCAAATTCGCGTACCGTTTGGAAAGCCCTCGGCGTGGGGCCTGGCAAGTGAGGTTTGGCCGGCAAGGCTACACGGAGCGACGGCAAAACTACTGCTGGCTTCCATAGCCACATAAGACCTGAAGTGGCTGCTGGCAACCAACCAACGGTCGATGAAACGCTAGTTCGACCTCGCTACTTGTGACGGAAATGAAAGCTCAATAAATAAGGACGCGTCAAGGATAAAGCCGTCTCAATTGTGGCTTTCCACTACAGGTCGCCGATCCAGGTGAGGTTAGCTTGCTGGCTAGTGGAGTTTGGGAAACTGGTAGAATAGAAGGGGGTGCTAGTTGGCGCGGAGACGAGCAGCGCTGGGTCTGGTCAGGCACGAGTTATCTTCCCATTGGAACTTTGCTCGAAAAAAAAAAGGGGGTCGTAACTCGAGGAGATCACAGAGCGGCCGAGTGAGTGCATTTCCCTTCCCTCCACCTCGCACACCTAGAAATGATCAGATCAGTCCAGACGAGTGCCGAGCGAGGGAGTGCCTGAGAGAGTGCATGTCCAGTTTTCTCGTGACTCGTGAGGGATCATGGATGGATGCCGTAGCCGAGCAGCGTAAAAAGGGGGAAAGCAGTACCAGTAGCAGCCAAGCAAGCAAGGAAGAACTCGCTTTAGGCTGATCTGATCGGGAGCCAGCCAGGGAAAGCCCTCGGAAAAGATTTCGGGTAGACACGCACAGGGAGCAGAGAATCGGACCGCATGGATCGCCACAAGAAATTGCCAGGACACGTCAGACGAGGTGCTTCACCCTGAGAGCCAGCGAGGCGGTGTGACGCTCGTGGATGCCGGGAGGCGTTTCTATCGACGGCTATCTGTTCTGCGAGTGAGCTGGAATGCTAAATGAGCCCACTGTTAGCCCGACACGTAGCACCCCTATCGCTTCCTTTCGGGACGCCTCACCAAACACTCGTGTCGCTAATCACCATGCCTTCCCTGAACGACCAGTTCCTTCCCTTGCTGGCACATTTGAAGGAGCCGCCACATGGACGGCTCGGAGTGCGGGGCCAAGCCTAAACTGGCCCATCCCTGCTGCGTCACGTCAGACCGAAATACCGAAGGCCGACAAATACGACCAACCCATTATGGCCATGTCAGCGTTGCAAGACAACGTGATGGCCACAACAGCTTCCCCCGTGAATCCTTATGCATTTTACAAGGCCACCTCAGCTCCAGAAAATCTTGCCTGCCTCCAATGGCTCCAATCTCACACGTCGATCCCACGTTTGTCGACAGAGCTCACCTGAACCTTGAGTGCCGCGTACACTCATTGCTGATTCGGCCCTCAACAAACTGGCTAGGAGGTATTCGTATACTGGAGTCAAACATCATCCGATATTAGCATCATTATGAAAGTCAGTATGCGCTTCCTTATCGAGTATTGACGAGGGAGTTGACGTCCTTTGTCGTCGTGCGGCCCTAGCACAGGTTTGGTTTGCGCACTGTGAATGAGGTTGGGTCAGCCGCGTACATCGCATTTTGTACTGTGCAGTACTTCGAACCTCGCCCAAACTAGGGCTTTTAAATTGGGTAATTGTTTGAAATGTCAGCAACATTGAGCTGATAATATGTACGGTATCGAATTGTTCTCAATTGATCCTTTCTATTATAAAAAGTTATGAATGATCAAAATTTGCGGGAGTTTTCCGGTCTGATAGATGGAAAGACGATCTCCACCATTCACAAAGCGACAGATCGGCACGCACTTGTTTCAACACCCTAATTGCAACTGAACTCCCTCGACTTTCGTGAATCGTTTCGCTAAAGGCGCTAAGTTCGTTATCCGCGCCACAATTGTCTCATCAATACACAAGCAAAACGAGCATTTGTTTTATCCATTTGGACCAATACGCCAATAGCCTTCAAAACATCTCTAATACATATTCGATAACCTGACATATTTAATGATATTTCATATATTATTTCATGTTTTAGAAACATTGTTTGGCGTTAATTTATGGAGGGCATGTATCATTCAAATATAAATCAATATGAACGGATTTTAATTTACTATTTTAATGAGAATCAGCTTTTCGTATGAAAATATAATTTTCGATGAAAAAAATACTCCCAAAATTTTTCATTTCGAGTTTTATCATAACATGTTTTTATGCTCGTCGTAACATGAATACCCATTGTTTTGCCATGCCACGAAAAATATTCACTTGTCATCAAACGTTTATCCGTTTTATGTAGAAAATATATGCTCGTTCTCATAGGTCTTGATGAGGCCGTTTTGACGCGGATAGCGAAGTTAGCGCCCCTAGCGAAAAGATTCACGAAAATCGAGGGATTTCAGTTGCAATTAGGGTGTTGACACAGGTGTGTGCCCATCTGTCGCTTTGTGAATGGTGGAGATCGTCGTTCCATCGATCAGACCGAAACCAGCGCAAATTATAATGACTCAGAACTGTTCGTAATAACTCGGATCAGAAATATGATGTATTTTAGTCGTGAGAACAATTTGAAACCGTACATATCTGAAGCTCGATTGTGCTGATCTTTCAGTAAATTACCCATTTGAATTCAGAAACAATGCACTTCGTGAGTTTGAAAATGCTCGCTCAGCCAATCGAAGGAGACGGCCTCACTAAAAAAGCCTGCCCATCTATTGGGAGACTGAAGCTCGCATGACTCAGCGTAACCCTAGATCTTATTGTTCTGAACCCGCTGCCCGAGGATGACCGTAGCAGCATTCCAGCTTTCGCGATGATCGCATACGGTATATGCCATCGTCCATCTTTCGTCAGCCACTCCGACACTGTCGTTCACACCTCATATCGTCGCGAATGTAGATTTTTTTGTCCAACTTTCCGCCATCCCAACCAATCCTGGAATGGGCTGTTGTGGCAGCAAGCAAAGTCCTCCTGTGGGGACGCAACGAAACCCTTTCCAGTCTCCCCTTCCCTTCCGTGGAAGCCATCCCTGTTGTCCCTCATTCCCCAAGGACCGTGTCTGGCTTGGCTTCCCCCTCTTCTTAGTGGACAAGGCTCACTGGCATCACCACCGCACTTTCTCCCAACCAATCAATGACAGTTAGACAGCACCGAGGGTTTCCAACCTCACTGTCCAAGCCAAGCCCTCCAAGGTAACAGGCATCTCCTACCACCAGTTATGGAGTTCCGTATACCGCTCGGCATTAGCAATACACCATCGTACTCGATTAAATAAAGCGCCAGTGTTTTGCTTGGCTGTTATTTTTTTTTCCTCGGAATAGTACGGAGAGGAGAAACTTCGTTCTTTTTAAAGCTTAGCTTTCAGTAAGTTACGTGCTAACGCGATGGCTGGCGCTCCCGAATCTTCCATGGCAGTTCCTTCATTGCTCTACGGTCTGCGTTGCATCTGGAAGCACGCGTGAGAGGTTGGACTCTGTATTTACAGACATGACATCAAATCCAGGTGAATATCAGTTGCAAGACAACGGGAATCGCCGTGGCTGCTGTTTCTTGTTTCTTTTTTTCTTTAAATAGTTCTTCGCCGCTAACTTAACGGCTGCTGTTTCTTGTTAAGCTGACTTGTGATATTGGGTACTTACCGTGTATTTTCCTGGCTCTTTGCTTGCTTCTCTCGACCATACTTTGGCCCTTCAACAACAATGCGACTAGCTTAAGAAAGCAAGGTTTTCTTCGTTCCGTTTTTTTACTCCGCTTGCTGTCTCTTTTGTTGACACGTGTTTCTGAAGCAGGTGGGGTCATGGCCGTATCAAGTCTCGATGAACATCAAAGCTTGGCCGTAGCTGCTGCAGCTGCAGCAGCCGCCGCCGCAGCTACTGGCCCGATAATGCCTTCTACCACTCCAACGGATTACATGACGATTCCGCACGCAACGATCGATCTTGGTTCGGGACCCCTGGTAAGGATAATTTCATGCTATTTTCGTCTACGTCTGTGAGGTTCAGGACGACGTTCACTGTGATTGACGGCTGGAGAGTTTCGGATAATGGGTGAGACGATTTTTTTAGCGGTACTGAGGTCGAACTGTAGTGTAGCGGTGTGATGGGAGGCTCCTCTTGAAGCCATGCCCTTCTAACTTTCCGTTTCTTTTCTGTCCCATTTCTTCTCGCAGGCAGCTCAACATGTAGCTTACCCGTACGCTGCGACAGACCCCTACTATGGCAACATCGTCACATTTGGCTCTCAGGCACTGGTAAAAATTGTGCTGTCCGAGTCCGTCACTTGACTTTCCCGTGTGGATAGGCTAATATGCTGAGTACTTTTGCGCTTTTTGTTTGCTCTCAGATGGCTCCTCTTGTGGGATTACAGCAGCAGACACGAATGCCACTACCTTCCGAGATTGTGGAAGAGGAGCCTGTTTATGTCAACGCAAAGCAATATCATGGTATCTTACGTCGGCGCCAAGCCCGTGCTAAAGCAGAAGCCGAAAATCGTCTGGTGAAGGCTCGAAAGGTAGGTTCTGCAAGGATGTGGCACGCTATTGATATACCTTAGCCCGCCCTTTTCTGCCCATGCAGTCGTACCTTATGTGAGCCATCTATTCACTTGTTTGTTCGTGCAGCCTTACTTGCACGAGTCTCGACATAAGCATGCACTTCGCCGGGCCAGAGGTTGTGGTGGACGCTTCCTCAACACCAAGCAGCTTGAGGAAGCTGCCGCGAAGGCTCAGTCTGGTCAAGGATCAGGCGAGCAACCACGAAATGGTGAAGGAAAGAAACAGAAGAAGGATCAAGAGCAGCATGGAGGAACGAATGTTGATCCTGGCAGTGACGGGGATGTGAACAGGTCGTCAGCCAGCAGCGAAGGGGAACAAGGTTCCGACTCTGGCAAGGGAGCTGTAGGGTCTGACAATGCCCTTCAATTGGTCCAGGCTGGACACAACACCAGTGGAACTGGCTTGCAAAATGCAGAGACTGCAAATGGTCTTGGTGAGGCTGGAGAAGCTGTCCATGCTGGGACCGACATAACTGCGGCGAATCCAAATAATCTGCAGTCTCAGGCGCTTCAGCAGGCTCAGCAAGGCGACCAGAAGCAGCAACAGCAGCAGCAGCAACAGCTTCAAATGCATGGGTTTGATTTCGGGTTCACTAACCCTCATGGATTTTACCAGTTTGGTGGCGTTAATGGACTGACTGCTCCTTCCCCAGCGTTTCACCACACTGCTCCCTCCTTCCACCCTAGTGGAACCCCTGCATTTCATCACCCGTCTGCATTTCACCCTATCACATCAGCTGTTGGTGAAGCCAACACTGCCTTCGCTAGAGGTTCAGCTGCTGTTGCTGCTGGTGGTCCTGTGTCTGCTGGAGGCAGTGGTTTCCTGCATGGGGATACTAAAGTCTGATCGTAATAAGATTTGACTGCTGGTTCTCTGTTGCCCCAGCCATCCTCTCACTGGCTTCTGTTGCAGCTCATCGATTCAGCATGAAGTATGGTTTGATAAGTTGCTGTATAGTGATGAATGGACCTTGCTGACTTCATGTTTTGTTTGCCTTTCTTACAGTAATGTTCTCTGCATATTTATATGTAGGGTTTCCCCAATTTTCAGATTGAGGTTGCAATAACAGACGTGTGGCACTTCCCAGCGCATTCGCGCATTGGCGTCCACCAACTTTGTTTTGGGGTTTCGTAGCAATTTTTTCCCCATCAGAATTCGCCCCGACCTAGAAATTACTAACCTGCCTTTTGAAGCCCCTGGCCTGCAAACGCTCGCCCTTCGTCTCTCGCGCTTTGCTCGGTCCTCCAGCGCGTAGGAAATTGTGGTCCCCTTCCCGAATCCGCTGCTGCCCGTTCTCCCCGGTCTTCCTGGCGCCCCTACCGTCATTCTCCTCATCCTCATCCTCTTCCTCAACCGCGCGCGCCCGTCCGCGCAAACCTTCCCCCATGTCCGATTGGGCCGCGCTCTCCCTGGACGAATCCACGCGCCGTCCGCTCGGCTATCTCCGCGACCCGCGCAACCGTCCGACCATCCTCATGGGCGTCGCGATTATCGGCGTCGTGATGCTCGGCGCGCTGCTTATTTTCGCCTCCACGTCCGCCGCGAATGGCGGCGGCGCACTTCCCGGGGAGCTAATGAACGCATTGCACGATGTCGTGCCGCCGTTTAAACCGGAGCTGGATCTGGTGGTGTCGTTCAGCGGCCGGCAGCTTCTTGACGGCGTGCGGGTAACTGAGTCGGAAGGCGCCGCGGAGCCGTCCGTGACGGTCGCGCCGCGTAGCGACGCGAACGTCGTTCCGGACAGCTACTACACTCTTGTGAGTAATATCTCTTGATGCGTTGTGATAGAATATCTGACACTAGCTATACCAGCGATCTGCTACGCACAGTGTGATACCCTAAAGGGGTATAACCGTGTGAACATTCCCGCCCTTCCGCTCTCTTCCCCCTCTTCAACTCCTCCCACCCGTTATTTCCGCCTACCCGTTATTTCCGCCTACTGCGCGCGCCGTGCAGGTGCTCGTGGACTCGGACGCCCCCAGCCCCTCATTTCCGCCTTCCCCCATCTCCGCCTGTCCCTCATCTTCTCTCCCCCACCCCCCCGTCCCCCGTCCCCCACCACGCAGGTACTCGTGGACCCCGACGCCCCCAGCCCCTCCAATCCGACTGCGCGCGAGTGGCTGCACTGGTGAGTGCGGTGGACCGTTGCGCTCCTTGACGGCTGGCAGTGGAACTTGACGGCTTGGTCCACGCCTCGGCCGTTCTGGCTCGGTTGGTGATTTGTCCCATCCACTAACGCAATTGCATGTCATACTAGGATGCCATGCCATGCCATGCCATGCCATGCCATGCTGTGTGACCCAAAGAGGCCAGCATTATCTTGTCCTTTTCCCACCATCCCACCATTGCCCCATCAGGATTGTTGTGGATATTCCTGCCAGCGCCACTGCAGCTCAAGGTATGCTGTTCTCTGGCCGCCTCAAAACTAGCTCAAGGTACGCACTGCATGTTCCCATGTCACGCATTTGAGGCGCATGAGGTGCACGAGGTGCGCTGGAAGCACTTGATCCACATGACGCACACGTGATGTACATGAGGCACACGTGACGCACATGAGGCACACATCATGCACATTGCACTTCTCTCCCTGTGCACACATCAAATACTGCACACACCCAAGTCCCCCTCCTCACACCTCTCCCTCCCGCCCAGCCCTTCTCTCCCTGGCTCTCCTGCACGCGCAGCACCTCACAGCGCTTTTCAGTGCAGGCCCACCTCGTCCCCTCCCTTTCCTCTCTCTGTCCCATACTACCACAATGCTCTGTCTCCTGCTCTTCCCCTCACCACTTTGTTCCACTAACCTCACCACCCTCGCCCTCTCCCCCCCCCCCCCCCTCCCCCCGTCACCCTCTCCCCCCCGCCCTCTCCCCCCCGCCCTCTCCTCCCCTCGCCCGCTCGTCCTCCCCTCAGGCCGCACTGTGACGCCCTACAACGGCCCCACTCCCCCTGAGGGCACCCACCGCTACATCTTCCTGCTCTTCAGGCAGCCCACCAAGCAGCTCGAGGTGAGGGGGGGTGTGAGGGGGTGAGAGGGGGTGAGAGGGGGAGGATGGTGAGGCGAATCGGAGAAGAGGGCAGACTAGCAAGCGTGCAGAGAGCTGTTGAGGGCACCCACCGCTACATCTTCCTGCTCGTCAGGCAGCCCACAGCCCACCAAGCAGCTGGAGTTGAGGGCGGGCGGGGTGGGGGAGGATGGTGGGGATGATGGGGGGTAAAAGGGAGGGTGTCGCATGACTCTTGGCAACATAAAGGTACCAAGAATGCATGGGACAGCACTGAAGTTTGTGGGTAAGAGTAGAGTGTAGCTATGTTAGTATACAGTATTATGCGGTTTTGGGATTAGACGTACAGTACAGAATTCGGGGATGGGAGGTTGGCGCGGAGGCCGACAGTTGGGATGGTGGGTGAGCTGACGTCATCCAGGTCAGCAGGGCTGAGAGCGACGCGGTGAGCAGGCATGCAGAGAGGGGATTGGAGCAGAGATGGCGCAATTACTGGGAGCCATCACGGAGGAGAAAACTCCGAAACGGCACGCGGCTTGAGCAGTTGGGAGGGATGGGTTTGGCCCAGGATGTCTCCTCTAGTGAGGGAGAGCAAAACTCAGGCTGAGCGATTGCTTCATCACTTTGTTTGTTCTCTCGGACACCGGGGGAAGACTTGTATGCCTTGTTGCTAGTGGAAGCATTCCCGGGCAAATGTTAGATCCACGATGAGAGGATAGATAAAGGAGAGCCAGGGAGACGAGGGGATAGTGAGTGGACCTCGGGATCTTTTCCTGTGAGAGGGTGCAGCAAGAGGTAGTAACCTACAAAAGACGCCAGGGGCAGAAGGTGAAGGATCCAGGGTAGGTAGTACTAGGAAGAAAGAGGGGGAAACGAGCCAGGGTGAAGGAGTGTGTGCGACAAGGGTTAAGCTAAGCTGGCGTGCAGAGATCTGCTGAGGGCACCCACCGCTACATCTTCCTGCTCTTCAGGCAGCCAACTAAGCAGCTCGGGGTGAAGGGGGGTGTGGGGTGCGAGCGGGTGTGAGGGGGTGTGAGGGGGTAAGAGGGGGTGAGAGGGGGTGAGTGGGGGTGTGAAGGGGTGTGAGGGGTTGAGCGGCGGTGAGAGGGAGAGGATGGTGAGGCGAGGCAGAGAAAAGGGGCAGGCTAGCAGGCGTGCAGAAAGCTGCCGGCCGCTCTCACTGCCGCATATTCCTGCTCTTCAGCCAGCTGGCCAAGCAGATGGAGCTAGAGGGTTTGGGGGGTAGAGGCAGGGCAGGAAGGGGAGGCGGATGGATTGGGGGATGGGGGTTTGAGGCTGGGGGGATGGGGGGGTAAGGCTGGGTAAAGGGGAGAAGTGGGGGTCACGGGAGTGGGGAGGTGAAACAGGGATGGGGAGGAGAGATGGGAGGTGCAGCAGGGGGTGAGGTGGGGATGGGGGGATAGAGCGGGGGAACCACCATGGGCCCTCCTCCCCCTCGCCACTCCTTTTCATTCCCACAGTACTCTCTGGTTCTTCTCCCCTGTTCTCATCCCCTCGTCCCCTCCCTGCAGCTCTCACCACCAGAGGAGAGGGCCAACTTCCACACTGGAGAATCTGCCAGGGTACCTTCCATCCTCAGCGTCCTCCCTCGTTCCTCCCTCTCACTCCCACTGTTCGCTCCCCACATCCCTCCCTGTTCCCATCCCCTCTTCCCCTCCCTGCACCTGTCACCCCGAGAGGAGAGGGCCAAATTCAACACAGCAGAGTTTGCCTGCTGACATGCTCACATTCCTTTCCCCGCCCTGCTCCCTCTCCTGTCCCCCTCCCCCCCTCATCCCCTCCCCTGTTCCCCTCCCCCCTGCTCTTCCCCCCCCGGTCCCCCCCCTGCAGCTCTCCCCGCCAGAGGGGAGGGCCAACTTCCACGCTGCAGAGTTTGCCAGGGAGCATGGGCTGGGTGCCCCTGTTGCGGCTCTCTTCTACACCTGTGAGGCAGGCGACTCTTAGATGGAGTCTGGGGAGTGCCCCTGTTGCGGCTCTCTTCCTTGCTTAGGGAGCAAAGTCTCTTACAGATGGGAGTGCATGGTTGCGGCTCTCTTCTACAGCTGCGAGGCAGGAGACACCTAGATAAGAGTCACGAGAGTGCCCCTCGTTGCTGTTCTCTCCTCAGGAGACAATGGTTGCTTTGTGGTGCTTGTGGTGCCACTCGTGTCAGGACTGATGTACTACGTGTGTTGGGGGGGGGGGGGGGGGGGGGGGGGGGGAGGGGGAGAGGAAGGGGGAAGTGGGTGTATGTACATTGTAGCTGTGAAAATTGGTACAACTTGGTGGAAGATACAGGAGGCAATGGATTGAGACTGGGTGCTTGTGTTGCTTTGGCTGCTTTTGAAGGTTGGCTTTCCAAGTTGAGCTTGAGTCATGTGGTGAATATACACTTCGAATGTTTATATGAATGTATAATCATTGTAGCTCGGATGATTAATGCCTGTTTTAGGGCCTCATTCCTACAAAGCTCCGGTATTAGTGGGGTTTAGCCCAGATCGAGCCGGCTTCTTGAAAATTAAAACGGGGCTCTAACGAACCCAGTTACCGCATGTTACGCACGCATAGGGTGCAGCGGTTGGAGCTGCCATGACACGATTGGGTGCACGCGGCATTCTTTCACGCGTCGGTGTATATCGTACTTTGGTGTAGTTCCTGCTTTGTAAGACTTCGAAAATCGAATCACGGGTATAAAGAGCTTTACATAAATACACAACTATAACATATAGTACCAGTATAAATATGTACTACCTAAAGCTGCACGTAGTGGCTAGTACCCACGCACGGTGTCTACCCTAATGAAAATGCTTTGGAACTCACTATCAGGAAGCCACTAGGGGGTGCCTGGGCACCAGTGAAGGAATCGTTGGTCGGTGCCTTCGATTATGAGTACAGTGGTGCCTGCAGCTGTACCCGTTTTATTGGGACTTCTCCACTGTACCATACGTGTGGGTGATGACCTTGGCTTGGCAAGCCTGCCTGCCAGCTCTCCAGCGCCCAGCGCCCAGCGTCCAGCGTCCCACCTACTTGCTTTCCATGCTGCCTAGGTGCATTATCAGCATGGCAGCCTGCCTGCCAGCCCTGCTGCCTGGAGCACACTAGTTCATGGCACAGCAGGGCATGGCATGGCATGGCATGCGCATGTGCCTTATTCGATCTTATTCTCGGCTCTTAGGACGCTGGCCCATAGTCTAAGCACCCCACGCATGCTAGTGCATGCTGCAAGCAGGGCAGCCATGGATGGAGTGGTTGGGCCCGAAATCCGTGCAGGTGACAGAGAGAGGCCCATGCGGGGTGAAGAGACGCGCAAAGAGAGGAGGACGGACCTTGCACCTGGGGGTGGGGACAGGGGAGCGGGCAAGTGCGAGGGGGAAAGGGGGATTCATGAGGCGCTTAGAACAGTGAGATTCACCAGGCCTTGCGGCTGAGAGAGGAGGGGGGTTGGGTGAGGGGAGGAGGGCGGGAAAGGAGGGGGGTGAGGAGGGAGGTTGGAATGAAGGTAGAGCACGCAGAAATGAACTGAGGGGCCAAGAGTGATAGGAGCATCCAACCGGGAGTGAGGGAAAGGGGAGATAACGGGGAAACGGGGGACTCGGGGAAAAGGGGAAAAGCCGGAAAATGGGGAAAGGGGGAATGGTAGAGAGAAGTCTCAGCTGACCTGTCCTGATTTACAAGCAGCAGAGTGGGCGGCAAGTGGCGGCGGCCCGAGGGCGCGAAGTAGAGCTTCAGCAGACAGCCGGGGGGGAGGACGAAGGAGGGGGAGGGCGCTGAGAAGGAAAGAGGGCACTGAGACCCCGACCGGAAGTAGGAAGCAGCGGCAGCGGGTGGTGGGGAGGAGGGAGGGGAGAAGGGAGGGGAGGAGGGAAGGGAGGACAATGGGGAGGAGGGAGGGGAGGAGGAGCAGCTTCCGCCAGGGGAAAGAGCAGCAGAAAGAGCTATCCTGCTGAAGTCCACTTTCTTGAGCTTTGTGCGGAGCACTCGACCCTCGTCGTTGTCGTCGTCATTGCTCTCGTCGCCGCTGCTGTCACCATCACCGCTGCTGCTGCTGCTACCGTTGAAACTGCTGCCAGTGCTGCTGCTGGTGCTGCTGCTGTCACTGGCTGCCTCGTCCTCATCCTTGCTCTCCTGCTGCTGCTGCTGCGGCCTCTGCAGCGCTGGCCAGCTCTCCTTCCCACAGCCCTCATTCTCCTCCTCCCTCTCCCTCTCCTCCCCCCTCTCCCTCTCCTTCTTCCTCTCCTTCTCCAGCGTGCCCCCCTCGTACAGCTCCTGAAACTCCAAGGAGGTTGGGTGGGGCGAGTACACCCCCCGCACCTCACCATATGGCCGAAGGGCCTGAGGAGAACAAGGAAGAAAGAGAGAGATGGAGCGGAGAGGGGGAAGGGGAGGGGACGGGGGAAAACCATGTCGAGTCGTCTAGACGATCGCCGGTCTGGCCATGGGCAGAATATCTTCAATGATCTGGAGACTAGACTGCGACCAGGAGGGACGACTGTAGAGTCTGTCTGCTACATTCAATGATTGACTCGATCAATCGATCGACAGTATGCTCACCTGCTTCACCAAGGGCAACACATGGGCGGCTGGGACGGGGGAGGCGAAGGCGAGCCCCACCCAGAAGAGCGCCCGGATGTCGTCCTCCGTGCACGCCCGCACTGCCACCACCTGCTTCCCAACGCTCCCTGCTGCTGCTGCCACTGCTGCTACTGGTGGTAGTGGTGGTGGTGCTGCTGCTGCTGTTGCTGCTGCTGCTAGGGGATTTGCTGCTGTTGCTACTGCCGTAGGCGCTGCAGCTGCTACTTTCTCAAGGTAAATCTGCCACCCGCTCTTACTGCCAGCAGGAGCAGCAGAAGGAGCAGAGGCGTCAGCAGCAGCGGCAGCAGCGGCAGCATCAGCGGCGGTGGCAGCAGTGGCAGGGGTGTCCCAGTGCAGGGGCGCGCGCTTGAGCGCTTTCATCATCGCCACATGGGAGACGAACTCCACCACTGGAGGGGTAAGGGAACCGTGGGGTAAGGCGTAAGGCGACGGACGCGCAGGCAGAGGAAGGAGGGGAAGAGCATTCAGACAAAACGTGTGCTTGGGGGTCTGCGGCAACGGCACACGAGATATGAACAAGGGGGAAGGCATCTTCCGAACGAAGGTGCGGTAAGGTGAGAGACGAGCAGGAAGGGGAGAGCGTTAGAGAGAGAGAAGAAACGGAGGAAGGGAAAGCGGCGAAGGAGCGAGAGAGAGGGAGCCGCCACCTCCAGTGGAAGTTGGAGGCGGACTGGTCGGCAATTTAACTAGGCACTCTGATTCGGCGCTTCTTCCCTGTTGCCTTTGCGTCTCTCTCACCTGCGTCCCCGGCATGGGTGAACTCGATATGGCGTATGGGGTACGGGCAGATGCGGTACGAGAGCTGCTGGTCCAGCCACCGAGTCTTCTCTAACGGGGATACCTTTGCCTGCCAGGTCAGCACGGGTGGGGAGAGGAGAGGAGAGGAGAGGGAGATAGGTGTTGGTGATTTTTGAGTCGACTCAGAAGCTATCGGGTCTTTTCTAACCGGGATACCTTGTCCTGCCAGGTCAGCACGCGCGGAGCGGAGAGAGAAGAGGGCGAAAGCTACGGTGAGGGAAAGGGAGAGAAAGACAGAAACAAGAGTAAATACATGGGCTGAAGGTCCGCCGGAAGTACCGCCGGAAGTACCGCCGGAATTAACGCCGGAATTACTGCCGGAATTACCGCCGGAATCACCGCCGGAATTACCGCCGGAATCACCGCCGGAATTACCGCCGGAATCACCGCCGGAATTACCGCCGGAAGTTATTGCGCTCAGCACCTTCCCTCTTCCCCGTCCCCCGGTCCCTTTTCCCTTTTCCCCCGCCACAAGGACGTCGTAGTACCTTGATTCGCGACGTCAGCACCACGACCTGCACCTCAGGGCGGAAATAAAGCGTAGAATAGTAGCTAGGATCCTCGTAGTCGCAGAGCGCTCCGGGAATACGGGGGGGCGACCCGTCACGGTGCTGCCGCAATTGCCGCATCATGCCGCGGGAGCCGCCGCCGCCGCCGGTAATGGTGCGCTCTGCCACCGCCGCCACCGCCGGGTGCGACGGCGGCGGGCGCGGCATCATCATGCTGCCATGGTGGATATACGTCGGCAGGAGAAGCGGCGGGAGATGCGGCGGAAGAAGCGGCGGATGATGGACGAAGGGCTGATAATGCTGCTGCTGCTGCTGCTGCTGCTGTTGCTGCTGCTGCTGGTGATGGTGGTGCTGCTGCTGCTGCTGCTGCTGTTGTTGCTGATGGTGATGGTGGTGGTGGTGCATCTTGCGATGATACCTAGCTGCGGCTTCGTGGAAGGTCAATCCAGCACCAGCGGCGGAGAGTAAGCCCATCATAGAGGGGAGCATCGGCATGTCGCCACATCGCACCGCATCATACGCCAAATCGTACGCCACATCGTACGCCGCATCGTACGCCGGGTCGTACGGCGTGTCGAACGGCGCGTCGAACGGCAGCGGGTGGAACGGGAAGTGGCAGGGCGCGCGGGCGGCGGCAGGACTCCCGCCTCTCGGCGACATATACGGCGGCATTTGCGACGGGTAGAACGCGCCCGCGTCGATCGGCGGCGGGGAAGGGAAGAGCGGGCCGTTGTCCGAGTAAGAGTACATGATGGACGATGATGATCCCTTCGGCTGTGCAGGGGAGACCACCGTTGTGCGGTACGCTGCCAAGGTTGACGCTTGCTCACAGTGTCACACTCCACGCCACGCGCCGCGCAGACTGCGGCTCGCAGTCGTGCAGAGCCAGAGAGGGGACCGCGCTCTCGGCGACCGCCGAAGGGCTGCCGGCTACAGGGATTATGGAGGTGCGGTGTTATGGCACGGACCGGGAAGAAGGAAGTACCAGCGATCGATATGCCGTGTAACGAATCGCGCGGCGTGCCGTGGAGACGATAGTGGCGCTGGCTACTGCCGATGGTAATTTACTAGCACTAGAATGCTGGTAGTACCGTTAAGAGGGCGCTAGGGTGACTTCAATTTTGAACACTACGCCTGTCAAGAGTATGGGGGACTCGTTGAAGCGGCACGCGAGGGCGTCGAGTTTTGAAATGAAAGGAAATTGGGCGCAGAGTCGACTTTACGTAGTTTGGATAAGCTGCTGGGCTCGAGGGCCGTCAAGATGCCCTTGAACGAGCCGTTGAGGAGTTCACTTGAATCACTACTAGAGTCGCGGGCTTGCCTCAAATTACCACGGAACGTGTTTCGTCCGCGTCCGGGTTCAGAAGCGACGGTCGCGTACGGACGTGTGTGATTCGTGCGGCAAGGAGCAGAGGAGACGAAAAAGAGAGTAAAACGGATGTGGAACGCGATATGTCGAGTCCAGTAACATGTGTTAGATGCGAGAACGGGTTGAGATGGAGGGGATTGGAGAGAACGGTGGTTTCGGGTTCCCATGCATTGCATTGGGGGGCTCGTCATCATCCTCTTTTCGTATTCGGGCGTGGGAGGTGGTGCGAGGCCGGATTTGGATGAGGGGTGATGAGGTGAAATGGAGGAGGTGAGAGGGGAAAGGGAAATGGGGATGCTGGGTTGCTAGGGAAGTGACGAGGGAACGGGGCTGCTGTTAGGATGAGGAGGAGAGAACCGAAGGACCACTCTTAGGGGGCACATTGTAATGCGTTTAGCAGCAGAGCTGCGGATGGTTGGGATGTAGGTTTGGATGGAATGGAATGGAATGGGATAACATTTTGCAATACACCAAACCTGCGATATTTTCCATCCCCCTATTTCCCCGGGGGTGCCAGTGCGAGGGTAGTCATCTTCAATAGCCATGTTCTAAGAGGCGGGTTAAGCATCCCCTGAAAATAAGAGCGAACTTGGGTATCTAGAAATACGATGTTTAAGGTGCAACCTTTCCCAGATTTGGTGCTACTCTCTTTCGAAGTCTAGGATCCACGCCAAACAAGTGGAGATGAAGAGACCAGGGCTCGGGCCCGAAGATACACGGGAACGATACTTGGGGACCCAGAAACGGCCAGGATGACGACAGAAGTTTTCCAAACACCTTTCCCCGTGGTGAAAATGTCGCAGGTTAGGTGTACCACTTGAACTCGACGCGACGCGACGCGATGCCTTTTGAGAGGTGGAAGCGAGAGGGAGAGAGGAGGCTTGGAGGAAAGGAATTGGATGAAGAACGCGCAGAGCGCATGTCACGGAGAAACAACGAATGGGGCGAAAACGGGTGGTCATTGGATGTGCTGTTGTGACGCGATCCGTTACGTGTACACATTTGGGTCAGCCCGAGTCAGGCCGAGTGCGGTCAATCGTTCCCCCTAAGGGCATGAATTGCGTCCAGGTGTGTGGGTTCCGGAAAAGACAACTGCCAATAAAAGAAATTGCTGTTTTATTGGCAATCGTACTGGATTAAGGTTTTGGTGAAATATAGAAACACCAACCTCCCCCCCCCCCGTAGCCGTGTAATTCTAAAATATGGACAGAACTTTTAGTGCTAAACGTTTTCTACACTTGCTCGGAGGTTGTGTGACTCCGGGTGGGAGGACGTTTGCATGACATCCTGTGCCATGTTGGGTTGTGGGGAGACGGTTTTGGGTAACTAGTTGGCGAGGGGTGGCACGTGTCCCAAGGTTGTGAATCGCATATCTGCAGCAGAGTTGTCACGGCTGTCTGCAGGCAGCTGAACAGTCGTTAGGGAGTCGCAACGCGTCGCAGAACGAAAAGATAGTGGCTGCCGACAGTTATGGTAACTGCATACAACTCAGAGACAGGAAAGCAGTTACCTGAAATGCACCGCAGCCAGCCGCAGGGCGGGTCCAAATAGTTCATTTCGGGGTTGAGGACACGATTTTATGAATCCGGGTACAGATCCATGAAACGACTCCGAATTCGTAAACACCAGGAATTGTGTCCCCGTTCCCACGCAGCACACAAGCGGGACGCCGATTGTCGAGATGTGAGAAAACCGAACGGCGCGCAACGGCCCAAAATGCAGTTACCAAGTGTATACCTGCGCGAAACATCTGTTTCGCAGCGCGTAAAATACAACAGGGGGGGGATCGCCATAGCCACACGTGAGAGAGACACTCAACTCGTGGCGGGTTCGGTTGCAGATGCAGTCTGGTGTTGCGCGCACAGATGCATTCGCGACGTCGCCTGTTTTTCGCTACAGCCAGCGGGGCGAGATCCAGGCGCGACACACTTGGAACCCCGTCCCCAAATCTTGCACATCAACGGTTTTTTTACGTTACCAAACCGAGATCTGATACATGGCCCGACGCATGTGAAGGGCGTCCCACGTTACGCGCCAGTTTCTTTCGAGTTCTGGCGAAACCTTAAACAACGTGTTACATGTTAAAATCGGGTTACTATTCAGTGGAAGAATCGGTTATGAACTACTTAAACCCGCCCTCAAATTGACACCCAATTGTCGATTTCTAGTGGGGCAGGCATGGCGCCATATCAACTCCCGGCAGCCGCCGTCGTCGTCACCGATTGGTCTTCACTGTTTCAATTTTGAGCAAGCCTGGATAGCCAATGTGCTTGCCGTTGTAGGCAGGCGTAGACGATCTTGTCATCATTGCGATATGCAACACCACCTCAATGCACGATTCTCTTAACGATTCGGCTGACTGCTGCTGACAACAGAAGCTTGACCCACTGCAATGTGCGACCAACTCGAAGGCACTTCACATCAGAGTACTGAGTCATCTTTTTACAGCTACAAATGATGTCCACCGGACGCCCACCACTTCCGAGTTGTGGGGGCCAATGTTGAATTCGCCATTTCGCATACGTCGCCACGGGCAAATGAGTCGCAAATGGGCATTTTGTAACAAGATATTTCAAAAGTCAGAATTCTGGTCAATAAGCCCATGCATCTGTATGGTCACCTCGTTCCGCGCTCAACAGAATCGTTCCACGTGGCAAATTTTGGGACTCTCACGAAACGGATACTGCCCGTAAATCAGAGCAAATGGGCAGGTTAAACCAACTGCGATTGGCTACGGGCAAAGCGTAGGGTGGACATCATGTGTAGGAAAACGATACCTTCAGTCCAGTGTCAGCCGAAGAGGGTTTGCCCTGAGCTAGAACCCTTTTTTCACGTTGTAGTGATGTGGTTCGGATACCACTGCACTGTGATTTTTGTGTGTAGAGAGATGCGACGCACTTTCTTCAGGGCAGGAACAGGAAAATCTCAGGGGGAAGTTTGATCAGCAATTCACTTTTCTTCGGAGGTCAAGGAGAAGGTTCGAGAATGGTGTGGTTTCTATGCAACCTGTTAGCACTTCTGAACCTGTCGCAAGCGGCCTGCAGAAGCAAAAACATTTGGTGTTTGGTTGTGGTCTAAATTTTCGCGAGGCAACAGCTCGCGACAACATATATCGTTCGTATGCTCCTCACTTTCCACGTCGCATGATTCTGCTTCAACATATTTCGCCACGCCATATACCACTAAGGCAATGTAGATGTTATGAATTATATAGCGCATAATGCTTAGGAAAACATGATTACATAACTGTCCTATCCAAATGAGACCTAGAGCTTGTGTAGTGCGAGTGATCAGGGTTGAATGTCGAGGGTTGGACCAGTCAAGGGCTCAAAAGTCCCCAGTTTAACGGGGTCAAAATGGGTTCGAGGCGACTCGGTATCAGGTTGGGGACCGTCGTGGTTGGCGTTTGGCGCGAGGTCTTCAGCTATGTGACGAGCTTAATGATTACGCCAGCCTGACGAGGTCTTGAGGTCAAACTGAAATCAAGGGTCATAAAACGTCGAAACGATCGTGGTAGATCCTAATCGTTGAACCTTGATGGGCGAAATGATGACGAGACTTCATGAGGTAGAACTCTTTCCAACGGCTGAGACATGTCGCAGCGATCGTAATCGATCGAAGTCGTTGAAGATAATCGACTTCTTCCGCTGATGGAACGGGTACGGGAAAAAACTCCTCTTGGACAGCAAACAGTAACGCTATTGATTGATGATGGCGCGTGACAGATGAATATCTTGAAATAATGACTGACAAATATCATGGTGGTCGATGAAATGAAGAACCCATTTACGAAACGCGAGGTCGTTCGTGTCACATGCGAGAGCACGCGTCCGTGTCCCACGAATGTCAGCGAACTCCATCAACGAGGGGATGAAATTAGGCGCGGAAGCGTAACTGTCGCGAATGTCGGTCGAAGATGGATGATGAAACACGCGAAAGGGACAGACGAAAATTGCAGCACAGCTGCACATCTCCCCTCTCCAAGAAGAAACGCTCCCAATTGCCCAGGTAAAAACTCCAGGAAACCCAAAGCTCCAAGGTAGCAAACCCAAAATAATCCCCCACTGCTGCTAAAAATCCCAAAACTCTTCTTCAAAGATGCCGCTCAAAAACTCCAACCCAGAGAAATTTCAAATATGCTCTTAAGTTCAAATTCCTTTGAATGGTAAATCGCTCCAAGTGTCTAAAAACTCAGAAGTAACTGCTCCGGAAAACTCCCATACGAACTGAAAATTCTACACGAGTTGGAACACTGTTCGCGAGTTGGTCCGAACACTGCTCGCGAGTTGGTCCCAACACAGCTCCAACGGCACTACTGCACAATCTTTTCGTTTCGATATTGCTGCTGATGGGTGGCGATGATGCGGCGGGGTCGTATTCACACTGTGGGGCCAATTACACGAATTGACGATGGAGGTGGTAGCGAGTAGTGACGAGAGGAAGACGACGATGGCGATGACCTGTAACCTGTACTCAATCACTCCAGCTGAAAACCTCCAACTAGGTCGAGTAACGCCAGCTGCATCAGCTTCTTTGTCCGTACACAACGAAAAAATAAAAAAAAAACCGAAATAACTACTGCTCATCTCCTCCTCCAGGCACTCAAAATATTTCGAGACTATCGGTCGATGTCGCTCGTACCCCTGAAGATAGCTGGCACAACTCCAGCTGTAAACGCTTGAACTGCTCCTCAAACCCACCGTAAATACCTGGTACCACTCGATACTTAGCAAATACCTCAAATCCGTTTCACAGCTACCCGTAGATTTGCCCAAGCGTCACGACGTCCTTTAGCAGTGCCCCCACGGTTGCTCCACCAGCTGCACGCATGAACTAAACCCTTTATATTAGGGTTTACTGGAGTCCACCGCCTCGGCATGATGTTTTGGCCGTCGATCACGGTCAATACGCATCATACGCCGTCGATTTCCGCCCAGCTGTAACCCGATGTTAAAATATTATGGCACCCCTGCCAGCTGGCCGTGCAGACGTTCATCCATCTCGCGGCTACTGCAGGTTACCCAAAACCACTTTGCTGCTGCTTAACTAACTAGGAGAATCCGCAGAGATAGGAGTGCGCATGCTTCTAGTCAGAGGAGCTTCAACGAGCTTGCCTACTGGCCGCTGCACAGCTCCCTTCTTCATCGGAAACTCGTCGAACTACTC